ATAATGTGTGAACAAACTGACCACCGGTTAAATATTCGTTGGGGAATTGTTTATAGCTTGCACTTGAAATAATCAACAATACCATCTGATCAAATCCAAAGAGAACTCGACGAAATGTCGAGCAAATTCAAAGAGATATTTTTCCAGTATTCTCTTTAAACACATTTTATATTGATGAAACATCAGTGGTACATGTGGTCATTTATTCCAACCCTCGAATAAATGTAAATGTGTCGATGTAATTAGTCATGGGGGGGGGGGGGGGGCTGGAGGTTAGCTAGCGTGCATGTCATTAAGTCCACTGGAGTGGTTTCGTCGATTACCCGGGTGTATGTGACAAACCTCGTGGGTTTTCTGCGGGTCCTCCGGCCGGTTTCCTCCCAGTGCTAAAGACCCCCTACGCTCAAGCGATTTATTTATATAAAATGGAACTATATGGTTTGTGTGGAGTGGCCGCTAAACTCTCTCTCTCTCTCTCTCTCTCTCTCATTAGTCATCATACACCTGGTATTAATTTCTTAAATTGTATGCCACCTTTTGTATGCAGAAATCGTGTTGACGTTTTGTTGTAGAACCGAAGAAGAGGACTAAATAAACATTTAAAACATTGATGTTAACAGATAACATTGTTAAATATTGCTCCACCTATGGTAGAAAGTTTTCAACCCGGCAAGGAATTGGCCATATGCTAGAGACACACAAATGGACATTAAATTTAATGAGACAATCAGTTTGAACCGAATGAAGGTTGGTTTCCACCCTAGTCTTTTTTAACAGCTAGACTAATTTATCAGACCCAGAATGAAATTAGTAAACTGTGATACATATGTAATATATGATTATCTGTATACTGACTTTGTACTAAAAACAACCAACAAGCTAGAACCAAGACAACATGGATGCTGAAAATAGTGTCGATTCCGAGATTTATTTCTTTTAACAAAAGATTTTATTACCACAATATCTCAAATAAAAGCACTTGATATTCTCTTTAGGCATTTAGTTTGTTGTTTACTGCTTGGTTTTTCCTCCACCCATTATCAACAGCCATTTTGAAACTTCCAGTTAATGTTGAAATTAAACCCCATCAAGTACAAGTGTAGGATGAGTTATAAAATATCTCTACCCTAACAACCGGTACACATTTGGGTCCTTCAGCTTCACCCATCTTCCACATAGCACATTCCAGTAAATGTTGAAATTAAACCCCATCAAGTACAAGTGTAGGATGAGTTATAAAATATCTCTACCCTAACAACCTGTACAAATTGGGGTCCTTGAGGTTCACCCCTCTACCACATAGCACACTCGAGGTGTGATAGCGTGGTCGCTTGTGAGGAGATCCCCTCTTAGACCGAGTTAGTTATACATATGTATAGTAATTTTGGTTGAACACACTAGAAAGTGGTTCAGTTCCGAAGTAAGCGTCATTTACGTAAAGTTTCAGTACAAAGTAGATCCATCGAAGTAAGCGTAGTGATTGCTACACTGCAAAGACGTTGTGTGTCTCTACAGCTTTGAATGTAACAATGTCGATCGGTTGAGATACGAAGCCTTATATACCTACAGATATACACTGACAAATCTACTGTTTTGTGCTGGCGTAGCAATAAATCTATATTTCATAACACAGAGTAATAGTAGAGGGGCTCTTTTGTGGTTAATACCGATTGTAGTCTACATATATCTATATCTACAGAAATCAATAAACCCCCCCAGATACCCTTACTTAAACCACTTACCTCTCATATATGTAGGTAACAAACAGCCGGTTGCCAGGTAGTGGTAAATAATTACATTAGTGATAAAATGAAAAGAAATAAAATTGGGTTTAACGTCCTACTGCTGCTACTGGGATAAAGAAGACGGGCATATGCCATGCAGTGTGCTGTGAGGGAAACTGAGCCAGGGCAGCAGCGCTAGAGCCTACTCTTATTTCGAATTCCAACTGCCAAGTGCTTTCGTCCGATCCGAACGACTAGACATTGTTCTTGTCACACACACACAATAACGACGGCCTCCGCAAATAACAGGGGCGGAACTGATAATGTCAGAAATATTACAAACCTCTGCCCGGGCTAAATTTCCGTCATAGCCAGAGCTCGTGACAGAACATAAGCAACTCAGCGAGTTCAAAGATACAATGGCATTTGTAGTGTCATTTTCGCGTATGTCTAGGGTAACTGGAGCACACTTTGCTACAACACAGAAACCGAGATTGACAAAAATTTGGCTTTCAGTTTCATTTTTAATGAGATACCAGTCAGCCTACCTAGAGCGACCGATAAATGCGTGCACGATCACTGACGACAGAGCGCTACACGGGTGCGCCACATTTATACCCAGACCGACACCAGAGCCTCAAACGGGACTTAAGAGTTTTTAATTCATCAATTTTTACAAAAACAGTGGAATGGCATAATCCGGTTCTAATCCTACCCGCGCCATTAGGTATCCACCAAGAAGTTTTAATGACGCCACGCTATCTTTAGTTCATTAAAGCTTCTTGGTACCTACAAAGAGAAAAGTCACCGTTTTTCCTCTACTTTACGACCAAGTAACAGTGTATTTTGTTTTTATTAATAATTTACAACTTTACCCCCCCCCCCCCCCCACACACACACACCTTCACGGGCCCTGGTCATAGCACGCTGTATGGCATAAGCACGTCTTCATTAGCCCAACCGGTACGGAAAAGTGGGACCTTCAACCTCATTTCATTTTGGTTCAATTTCGTCAAGATAGAATATCGCTCGCTATCTATGAAATCTCTTAATTCAACTTAAATAATATCGTTGGAAAAAACTACCACGACCTTAAGTCAGGTAGGAAGAATGAAGGCATCAGAAAATTCATTGCGATCCACATGTTATCCTGGTCTCCTTTAAAAGGCAGTTTCATCTCCACATTTGGGGTTTCTAATCGGTATATCTTTCAACCATTTCAAGAAAATGTTTATCCAGATTCAACTACGTTCCAATTGGAACCCGAGTCTTTAAGGGAAGAAGAAGAAGAAGCTGACAGTAACAGAATAGTGATCAACATTATAATATACATTTTAATTGTCTCAATTAGAGTAGGTCGTAGTGCCGCTTCCGGGCAGCGACAGAACAGTAGGAATTTAAACTCTATTTCATTTCATTTGATTTTTGTCACCATCCTCATAATCATCAATGTCATTCCTTAACAAAAGTCATAAGAATAAACACCATCTTCACCCTTGTGATAATATTGTGCTCGTTTTCGGTGTACCCGTTTCCGTCGGCCAAAAAGGTTTTCTAATGAAAGTTAATGGAACTGTTTCCAAGTAAGTGTTCCCGTGGGTCAGAAAACATTCCAAACTTTTCAGCGACTTTTCAGTACACATGGAAATACAAAACATCTCGCGCGGAAACGGCTGTGTCTTCCCATTGGTGAAAACACTTACATGGAAAGTGAGCTTAGAATGACATTACTGATGATCATGGCGAAAATTATTACTGTGTCGAGGCTTGCAATCATATTTCAAGGGCGAATTTCCATAGCTCGACGAACAATGAAAAATAGTACCGTAGATTCTAATAATGAAATTTAACGAGCACCCTTACAATGAAGTGTGTTTGAGGAGTTACATGATTGCCTTTAGGACATGGTGATCTACCTATGTATCCTGACTACTAATTAATTACGAATGTAGGGCCATCACCCCGATTAAAAATTTTACTTTCCTTTCCCCCACTTTTGCATGCGTGCGATTGTTGGCGTTTTGGTGTAACATGGAAACAGAGAGGTTGAATTCATATTTCCTTCGGGTTAAGGCGAGTATTCGTGAAATTGATGCGAAAGGATAAATGAGTAAAGCGGTTAATTACATTGAAATGCACGGCGGATAGTTATATCTCAAAACATTCCCATGGCGACCTTCAAACATATTTTTGGGATGCGTTTCTGCATATTGCTCCATCTATGACAGAAAGCTTTCGACTATAGGGTCAATGGAACTAAAAGTAGTCTGTATCTCAGAATTTGATATAACATATTGGTAGATAGGGAGGATTGGACATAAACAAGATACAAAAATTAAAGCTAACATCAGATTTCTTGCAAGTAAAGATATCCATTTGAAATGGAATGCTAACCCAAGTATTGCATCGTGCATTCCTCCCGCCATCCAGTGAAATCGGAAGTAGAGCTTCAGTGAATTAAGAATATGACTGGTATGAAACTGGAAATAGGCTAATAAGAAGAAACAAAAAACGTTCACGTGTAAATTTGTATATTATCTTTTATATTTTATTTCAAATGATCGATAATGTAACAAGAATATCAAAAAGGAATATTGTACAAGTAGGTCAGATCAGATATCCGTTACTTGATCGATTCAAACATGAGAATATTAAAAGTTAAACAAGAATGATATTCCAGAGTTCTATGTTGGCGGTATTACCAACAGTCTTCCACATTACTCACATTCATTTTGCAGTCGGGAACATAATCTAGTCAGGACTGATTTGTCTCTGCCTCATCAGTATGTTGCACTCTGTTTCCTTCCATTCAGAAATACATTTCTAGTCAGGGTGGATTGTTCACAACCAGTAGAAGAATTCCACATCCAACTTCATACAGAAAAATCTTTCTAAGTTTAGCTTTGCTAGTTAACGGTATTGCACATCCGAGAAAGTTCGGGGTGATTTCTCTCGGCCGGTAATGGTATACCACATCCAACTTCAATACGGAAATATTCGTGCTCCAATTAAGGTGTTACTCTGCTTTTTAAGGGAGTCGAGATGACGTATTGATGGTCGTTCAGCTTTCTATTCTCTTCATACCAGCCTCGCTCCCTTCTCAGAAAAAACACAAGATTGTCGTGAGCTGGGCTATCTTCATCAAACAGAAGAATCTTGTTTCCAGACTTTCGACTACGATTAACTCATTTCTCAACAACATCATACAACTGAAATAGATAAAATACTATCAGTGAATTATACACGATGCGCAAAAATACCAAAAGGTCTTTTGTATTAATTAACTAATAAACAAAAAGGGACAAAACGCTCAAAAATAATATTTGCGTTTAATTAAGAAAATTGTAACCAAAATCTAGATCAATTTATGGCGTCGTGAAGGTCTGTTCGTTTTTTTTTATCTAATTCCCCATGCCCTCCCTCATCATTCCTTCTGTTCCTGTCCAAAATACAGAAAAAAAATTAAGTAAAGTATTACCTTATTTAAGATGTATTTTATTCCTTTATGAGCTCTGTATTGATCTACTGACGCCATTAAAGCCTCTTTCTGGTTACCAAGACATCTCAAAAAATAATCCCAGCATGCCTTACGAAGATCTTTCATTCCAAATTCGACCGAAGTACAAAACAAACCTAGAATTTAAAGTGAGTGTTATTAAATACAATGTGAAATATTTACTGTAATGATATTTAGTTTACTCAAGAATCAAATTCCTATCGCATCCACTCTTGTTTATCAGGTTCATAACAAAATTCCGATATGTATTTTAAGGGTTTATATTAGGCCTACATACCTATAACAGTATTAATATCCACCTTGATTTTACCACAGTGAATAAAACTGACAAATCTTCTAAATACTTCTTCATCATAATTCTTTATCTCTATCACCAGTTTACCTTTCAACTTTTCACCTTTAACCTTCTTCTTATTGACCTTGACATCACGTTGGTTGTGAAGAATCAACTGATATAAAACACGGCTTCTGGTTGCTAAAATAGCTTTTACACCATAAACAGGTATCTTCTCCTCTCCTACTAAAAACACTACATCACATAATTCATTCATAGAGAGAATATAGTCTAGACTATCACACAAAGATTCTCTACTTTTAAACACCATCATTTCTTTAGTAGAATCACGTGGTGTTGGAGAAGTATTTCTTTTTGATTGACAGCTATCGCATGATTCATACCCAGATGAAAGACTTACAGTATCTGAAAATAAGAAAATACATTTGTAAATATGAACCGCATATAATTTATAATTGGATAGCAGATATATTTGAATTGGGTGTCGTCTGTGATATAAAAGTATCTTCAAAACTTTAAACATTATTATCCAAAGCAATAAATGAGAAAATCGTACCATCAGAATCATAGTTATCACATTGGTCATATTTTGTCAGATCTAGAGAAGATTTAGACATATCAATTATTCTAATAGGCAAATTCTTAAGAAATATAAAAATATATTTGTTGTTGTTAACAGGAAGAACTTCAAATGAATGGTGTTAAAGCCAAAGATTTAGAATTTATAGGGATAGAGTCAAGGATCGCACGTGTCATGGGTCAGTTGAGGTTAAAGTTTAGTTAATAAGATCATTAGGTAATTAGTAGTAATTGACATTGATATGTTGTTGTAATGGCTGTCAATCCAATTTAGTATTATAACCGAATCCATTTACACCTTCATGTTTACAATTTTAGTACATGCATTCTAATCTTAAACTACTACATTTAAATTGCATGAATTATTATATTTCAATAATATAACACCAAACTTAAATAGATTTTGTAATGCGACATATGCAGTTTAGGATTTGTCCACGTGTAACAATCTACCTTTTACATAATCAGTTCATATATTACTTTTTGCATATGTAGAAACACAAAATACCATCTGATTGTTAAGATTACACCATTATATAAAACAGAATGTTTCTATCGAAGTGTTTAAGTAGATAAAGTTGACCTAAATCCACAAATTATTATTAACGATAATCTGCAGTATTTACAAAATGAGGTTTTTAAAATTTACATAAGGGCATAATTCTGTCATATTAACGTCTTTAAGCTGCTAGAAATTTAAAAAATATGTGAACGCGTGTCAAATGTTATTTTAGGAATTAGAGCATATTGCTAAAATGTATTTCAAAAAGTAAGCAGGATACTATTATTATACGTCTGTCATAGATTTCATCAATTGTTAAAACTCGAATATCAGTGTTTATCATATTATACGCCTACTCAAGAAATTAATAAATAACTATTATATATGTAATCATTAATTGGGGTAAATATTAGAGAAGATAACTCGGATAGACTATATGGACTCAGACTAGCAATTATTTGCCCATTGACTTCAATGTTAAATGGCTGTAACATCACAGGCTGTAGCTTTTTTCTCAACATTCCGTTGGTTCCAATCTTTATAGGCACAATGGGGACAACATTTGGCAATCTCCTCATCATAATTTTGTAGGGGGTTGACCATTTAGATTTTTTGCTACACGGATTTGAAGTTGACTGGGGTGAAAATCTCACTTCCGACACAATGACTGCTCTGCAGAAAGACACTTTACACCCCCTATCCCTCCGCTGTAATATCATCAGTATTACCCAAAACTGCTATGAAATTGCAAATTTGATCCCTTTTCTCCAATTCTAGACCAAAAAGTCAACCCAAAAATGCAGGAAGAGGGGAGAAAAAAATTAAGGGAAAAATTGTCTATTTATAACTCGCACCATCATGAAATAAGGGGAAATAATTACTAGTCTTAGTCCATATCATGTCTGGGAAAGTAAAATTAGCAATGAAGCCACATCATTCACATTCACAACTCACAATTATACATCCAAGCTTCTGGTGTATGGTGTCTTTCATACAGAAGAAAACTTTGATTTAAAAATCTATTTCGTCTTGCACTTTGAAAAACTGGCAAAAACACTTTTAAATAAATTGATTGGTATATTATAAATAAAGCTGAATAACAAAAACACACTATCGGTGTCACTTATCCGTAGAAACTAATTAGCACTGATTAGCTTTTAATCTATCACCTCTAATCCCTGTCATTAATTACTTGTTCAGTGGTGTCAGTGAGGGTATATATTCGGAAGGTAATTTAACTTGTCTAATTTTGTCTACGATATCGCCCTAGGTGGAAGTGGACGTAAAACACTAGAAACGAACGAACGTAACTTGTCTACGATATCACCTATGGTGGAAGTGGACGTAAAACTTTAGGAACGAACGTAACTTATATCATTCTCTACGTTCTAGAAAAAACATATATATTCCTCGAAAACTAAAGAAAATGAATCCAGTTAAATCTTCCCCGAATCTGATGAAATATGACCAAGTTGAACAACATGATAATTATGATTCTGATTATAAAACTATATTTTATTTATCTGGGCAAATATCATGAGATTATAAAATCCCGTAGTAAAATTACACCAAAATACATTGAGAAATTAAATTGGTTACTAAACATCTGTATTCTGATGCAGATATTGTAATTATTATACGACTAATTCATCTATTTTGTCAGTGGCACATTAACAATGTCGTTTCGTGCTTTTCCAGATAATGTGTGAACAAACTGACCACCGGTTAAATATTCGTTGGGGAATTGTTTATAGCTTGCACTTGAAATAATCAACAATACCATCTGATCAAATCCAAAGAGAACTCGACGAAATGTCGAGCAAATTCAAAGAGATATTTTTCCAGTATTCTCTTTAAACACATTTTATATTGATGAAACATCAGTGGTACATGTGGTTATTTATGTCAAACCTCGAATAAATGTAAATGTGTCGATGTAATTAGTCATGAGGGGGTGGGGGGGCTGGAGGTTAGCTAGCGTGCATGTCATTAAGTCCACTGGAGTGGTTTCGTCGATTACCCGGGTGTATGTGACAAACCTCGTGGGTTTTCTGCGGGTCCTCCGGCCGGTTTCCTCCCAGTGCTAAAGACCCCCTACGCTCAAGCGATTTATTTATATAAAATGGAACTATATGGTTTGTGTGGAGTGGACGCTAAACTCTCTCTCTCTCTCTCTCTCTCTCTCTCTCATTAGTCATCATACACCTGGTATTAATTTCTTAAATTGTATGCCACCTTTTGTATGCAGAAATCTTGTTGACGTTTTGTTGTAGAACCGAAGAAGAGGACTAAGTAAACATTTAAAACATTGATGTTAACAGATAACATTGTTAAATATTGCTCCACCTATGGTAGAAAGTTTTCAACGCGGCAAGGAATTGGCCATATGCTAGAGACACACAAATGGACATTAAATTTAATGAGACAATCAGTTTGAACCGAATGAAGGTTGGTTTCCACCCTAGTCTTTTTTAAAAGCTAGACTAATTTATCAGACCCAGAATGAAATTAGTAAACTGTGATACATATGTAATATATGATTATCTGTATACTGACTTTGTACTAAAAACAACCAACAAGCTAGAACCAAGACAACATGGATGCTGAAAATAGTGTCGATTCCGAGATTTATTTCTTTTAACAAAAGATTTTATTACCACAATATCTCAAATAAAAGCACTTGATATTCTCTTTAGGCATTTAGTTTGTTGTTTACTGCTTGGTTTTTCCTCCACCCATTATCAACAGCCATTTTGAAACTTCCAGTTAATGTTGAAATTAAACCCCATCAAGTACAAGTGTAGGATGAGTTATAAAATATCTCTACCCTAACAACCTGTACAAATTGGGGTCCTTGAGGTTCACCCCTCTACCACATAGCACACTCGAGGTGTGATAGCGTGGTCGCTTGTGAGGAGATCCCCTCTTAGACCGAGTTAGTTATACATGTGTATAGTAATTTTGGTTGAACACACTAGAAAGTGGTTCAGTTCCGAAGTAAGCGTCATTTACGTAAAGTTTCAGTACAAAGTAGATCCATCGAAGTAAGCGTAGTGATTGCTACACTGCAAAGACGTTGTGTGTCTCTACAGCTTTGAATGTAACAATGTCGATCGGTTGAGATACGAAGCCTTATATACCTACAGATATACACTGTGACAAATCTACTGTATTGTGCTGGCGTAGCAATAAATCTATATTTCATAACACAGAGTAATAGTAGAGGGGCTCTTTTGAGGTTAATACCGATTGTAGTCTACATATATCTATATCTACAGAAATCAATAAACCCCCCCAGATACCCTTACTTAATCCACTTACCTCTCATATGTGTAGGTAACAAACAGCCGGTTGCCAGGTAGTGGTAAATAATTACATTAGTGATAAAATGAAAAGAAATAAAATTGGGTTTAACGTCCTACTGCTGCTACTGGGATAACGAAGACGGGCATATGCCATGCAGTGTGCTGTGAGGGAAACTGAGCCAGGACAGCAGCGCTAGAGCCTACTCTTATTTCGAATTCGAACTGCCAAGTGCTTTCGTCCGATCCGAACGACTAGACATTGTTCTTGTCACACACACACAATAACGACGTCCTCCGCAAATAACAGGGGCGGAACTGATAATGTCAGAAATATTATAAACCTCTGCCCGGGCTAAATTTCCGTCATAGCCAGAGCTCGTGACAGAACATAAGCAACTCAGCGAGTTCAAAGATACAATGGCATTTCTAGTGTCATTTTCGCGTATGTCTAGGGTAACTGGAGCACACTTTGCTACAACAAAGAAACCGAGATTGACAAAAATTTGGCTTTCAGTTTCATTTTTAATGAGATACCAGTCAGCCTACCTACAGCGACCGATAAATGCGTGCACGATCACTGACGACAGAGCGCTACACGGGTGCGCCACATTTATACCCAGACCGACACCAGAGCCTCAAACGGGACTTCAGAGTTTTTAATTCATCAGTTTTTACAAAAACAGTGGAATGGCATAATCCGGTTCTAATCCTACCCGCGCCATTAGGTATCCACCAAGAAGTTTTAATGACGCCACGCTATCTTCAGTTCATTAAAGCTTCTTGGTACCTACAAAGAGAAAAGTCACCGTTTTTCCTCTACTTTACGACCAAGTAATTAACAGTGTATTTTGTTTTTATTAATAATTTATACAACTTTATCCCCCCCACACACACACACCTTCACGGGCCCTGGTCATAGCATGCTGTATGGCATATGCACGTCTTCATTAGCCCAACCGGTACGGAAAAGTGGGACCTTCAACCTCATTTCATTTTGGTTCAATTTCGTCAAGATAGAATATCGCTCGCTATCTATGAAATCTCTTAATGCAACTTAAATAATATCGTTGGAAAAAACTACCACGACCTTAAGTCAGGTAGGAAGAATGAAGGCATCAGAAAATTCATTGCGATCCACATGTTATCCTGGTCTCCTTTAAAAGGCAGTTTCATCTCCACATTTGGGGTTTCTAATCGGTATATCTTTCAACCATTTCAAGAAAATGTTTATCCAGATTCAACTACGTTCCAATTGGAACCCGAGTCTTTAAGGGAAGAAGAAGAAGAAGCTGACAGTAACAGAATAGTGATCAACATTATATATACATTTTAATTGTCTCAATTATTAAAAGTTCAAATAAAAATCTCAAAATCCAGCACTTGTCTTAAAGTAATAAACAAATGTTGTATAGCCTATTTGACATAAAACACAACACACGAATACGTTAGTTTAAAACAATAAGAAAGTAATTTAGACTATTGATCTGTCGATGTCAATCGTCTTCCAGGATATATAGATTAACCGGAGAAAAGATAAAATATAAAGGTACACTTGTTTAAGTGAATTAGTTAATTAATTAATCATGTGTCAAAGAAAAAATTTATAAAAAAAACCCAAAAAACTGATCACCATTATAATTTTTCGATAATTCCCCCCCCCCCCCAAAAAAAAACCCAACAACTCATCACCATTATAATTTTTCAATAATTACCCCCCCCCCCCCCACACACACACTTGTTTATAACGAGTAGTGGCGAAATTTTACCTGTACTACGTTGCTAAGGTAAATTGTTGTTGAGTGTGCATTGATCCATATGCCCCCAGCGCGTTGACTGTGCGTATACAGTAACGACATGTATAGACTTGATTTACCTTTATATTTTTATTCAAATAACGCATGAGTAAGCATCTTACAATAAACTAGGATACATACCTAGGTAAGTATGTATATTTATGTTACTTGATGTATTAAGCAATATTACATCTTGCTTTAAAAGATCTGTATTATACAAAGTATATTCGACCTATAGGTAATTACTAACGGCGACACGTATACATAACCAGTGAGACCTAGATATGCAAGTTAAATATAGCATCATGTCATATCGCCCGTGTGTCAAGATATCAAAATTATCACTATGATTTCAAATTTTGACCGCATTGTTATAATGTCCAATATTTCTAGATCTATACCTATAATAGATATAAAACGTTATATGCATGGCATGATCAGTAAAGGAGAGGCCGGGCGTTCTTGTAAAGCGAGTTGAGCCACGTAACCCCGAAATATGACGAAAATACTAATCCAACCAGTTGGCCTATTTAAGAATTGTGAAGCAATTATCCGTGAAAACATTTCGTTACTATGTAGATGGTGCACCATAATAAGAGATGTTTATATCAGTAATGACGAGGGGATAAAATACATGAAAGATACTACACTATTATTATTTATTTCAAATACATATGCCTGTATATCTCCTTTCAGCATAACTAAGGCTTAACGAGACAGTATCTTTATCACCAAATACCCATAGACTTATATTACTAAATAATATTATAGCCTCTGTCTAGAAATAGGGTCGAATGTTAAATGAGTATTTATATCTTTATAACCAAATAACCACATACTTATATACTATTCAAAAAAAGTAGGGGATATTTGATTTTGGGGGCATAATACTAAAATATGCAAATGACTACGAAAAAAGTCACTATAGAACCTAACAGAAGAAACATTTCCAGTTACATGTGACGCCCAAACGCACCAATAGCTACCGCATGGAATGCAAGTGATGCTTGGGATCATCAAGGGGGTCCAACCCAAGATTTGCACGACTCTGATTTTGAATGTTACAGTCATTGTGGCATTGAATTCCAGGGTGGAAACATCAGTTTAATTGTTTTAGTGACCAGAAAACAAATTTTGATATGCGTCGGCTTACCCAAAATGAAAGGTTACGTGCCCTTGGCATGCTACAGATCGGCACAACACAGGCGGTTGTGGCGCGGACGATGAATGTTTCTCAGTCTGTCATAAGCAGGCTATGGTCCAGATACCGTGATACACAATCTGTACAGGACAGACCACGCTCAGGTCGACCAAGGGCGACAACTCAAGCCCAGGATCGATTTATCCGTACCTTGGCCTTGAGAAATCGTGTCATCACAGCAAATCAGATCAGCGCTCGTCTTCAAACAGACACTGGTGTGAGAGTAAGTGGCCAGACGATTCGGAATCGACTGCATAGGGGTCACCTTCGCGCCCGACGTCCTCGCGTGATCCCTTGTTTGAGAGATCATCACATTCAGGCAAGACGTCGTTGGTGTAGGGATCGTCAACACTGGGATAATCGACGCTGGAGCAATGTGATGTTTTCAGATGAGTCAAGGTTCACTGTTGATTTTTTGGACAGACGTAGGAGGGTGTGGCGTCGTCGAAACGAGCGCTTCCAAGACGTTAACGTCATCAGACATGATCGATTTGGGGGTGGTTCTGTTATGGTGTGGGGAGGCATCACTGTTGCTGGAAGAACGGTTTTACATGTTGTTGCAGGGCGTGTTACAGGCCAGTACTACCGGGACAACATCTTGGCAGTCCATGTTGTGCCGTTCGCACGACGTCATGGCCGCCGTTTCATCTTCCAGGATGACAACGCAAGATGTCACAGGGTCAGGATCGTTACAGGTTACCTCCAACAACAGAACATCACCACATTACCTTGGCCAGCACTGAGTCCCGACCTCTCCCCCATCGAGCATGTCTGGGACATGCTTGGACAGAGGTTACGTCAACGTCAACAACGTCCTGCCAATGTCCAAGAACTTGCTGCTGCGTTGCAACAGGAATGGGACAATCTGGACCAAAATGACCTTAGACGTCTCATTAGGAGTATGCCACGTCGGATCAATGCTTGTTTGGCAAACAGAGGAGGATTTACCCGTTACTGACTTGGTTGTGATGCTGTGGTAACTTTGCTGTTTGACCCCGGGTATCATTTTACTTTTATAATGGTCAGTCTGTGCCTTACTTAGTCTAACGATCATTTGGAATAAATCGATGAATGTGAACTTCATTTCATTTTGTCATTTGTTTCTTCGTCAGTTTCATTAGGTGACTTTAATAACACTTAAAAATCAAATATCCCCTACTTTTTTTGAATAGTATATATTACTAAAGAATATTATAGCCTTTGTCTAGAAATAAGGAATGTTAAATGAGTATTTGTTTATATCTCAGGGGTGGCAGGGCACAAACTGTTTTTTACCAACCCGTCATTAGCGTTAATTTCTCTTCAAGGGCAATGATTTCTAACGAACTTGATAATTTATTTCTAAGATGATTTATTCATAAGACGACGATATGGTAGATTATGTATCGTCATATAGAGTTGGATGAGTGCTTTAGTTACTTATTCATTCTATTTTCTTTATTTATAGATATATAAACACACTCGCAATGAAACGACGAGCGTCCAGAACCGTGGCACACCCACCTAGCAAGTTATTTAGAGAAGACACCGTTACCAGCCTCAATAAAGCATTAAGTAATGCTTCAAAGGTAAAATCTGACCCAAGACCCCCAGTTCCTTCAAAATGGCCTTCATTGAGGAGACGCTCGACTGGTGTTAAAGAGGTCACTAAAACAGACACTATCACTCCTGAGCTACGCAGGGCATCGACTTTAACTTTGGAACACCCAGAAGACATACCAGCATCTTCATCCACCGGTTTAAGAAAAGCTACCTCCATATTAGAGACAGACGATATCATGACAACAGTGACCCAACTACCATCTGGCTCGACCATCACAAAGACATACAGCATCGAAAATGCTTCAAATTCGGTTCGAAAAGAATTGTCGAAAACTCTCTCAAAATCGAAGACCCATTTATTAAAGCCAAGCAACACATCCTCAGCACCAGTACCCTTTTTGCCACCAGGAGGCCTTTTTGAAATAGTATTTTCATTTGACACTACCTCTTCCATGTATTGTTGTTTAACACAAATTAGAGATAGGGTTCAGGATATGATTCAAAGACTACAAGCTGACATTCCCGGTATCAGGATAGCAGTTGCAGCTCATGGTGATTACTGTGATAAAAAAAGTAAATATGTTCTACAGCTTATTGACTTTGGAGCAACTGTTCCAGAACTCTGTGATTTTGTTAGACAAATTGAAGGTACATTTGGTGGCGATCTAGATGAATGCTATGAGTTGGTTATGCAGAGAGTAAGAACGGGGCTATCTTGGACGCCCAATAGTCAACGGGCTTTAGTGATGATTGGTGATGCTGATCCACACGAAAAAGACTATGTATTTGAAGGCTTCTGTCCCAATATAGACTGGAGGGAAGAGCTACAACATTTGAAAGAAATGGTAAGTAATGCTTGGGTGTATATTAAATTCAAAAGCACAGAAATGTAATATCACGACTCTTAGCCAGATCAAGTATGTTGACCAGGCCATGCACAACACCTCTTACTACTGAAAGTTAAATGGGGCTGAAATGCGGACGGAAATTTTATTGCTCCAGGAACATTGACTGGTAGCAATGTTTCAACGAATAACAATGTTTCATTATAACATTTTGATGCGGTTTGGGTTCTGCTTGCTTCTTATGATCACCATGGCACCCAAATGGGATTGTCAATGATATACCTTAATTCATTTACAGGGTGTTAGAATATATGGTGTAAAGGCCAATGGTGAAACTTGCCCTGCAGATGGATTCTGGAAAGTGATATCTAAGGAAACAAATGGTCTATATTTACAAATGGAAAAATTCGACATGATATTTGAGACCCTGATGGCTATATGTTACCGTGAGGGTAATACTGATATTTTACAGGTAAGAATCCGGGGTCATCTGATAATGTATGTCTGTTTCCAGTCTTATATATTGAATCGTAATATTCTAATGTTGTCTTACTGAATTGCCAGGTTATCTATTTTTCAGGTAAGTATCTGGAGTCGTCTGATAATGTATTCATGTTCTCAGTCTTATATATTACCCCATGATAGTAGAATGCTGTCTTACTGAATTGACAGGTTATCTATGCTTCTTCTTTTGTACGCTATCACGTTGCAAACGGACCGCACATAATCCTGACTTTATTGATGTAGTAGAAGTACACACAGAAATTCAGACGATGTGTTTGTATTGTCACTGCAGCAGTAAATATTATTTACAGTCAAGCTGATATAGATATTATCGTTACAGGATTACCTCAAAGAGGTTGAAGCTGAGAATGGCTCCAAAATGAAGACCATATTTGGCACACTACGCAAAGCTGGTGATCCCACAGGGAGTAGCTGTTCTGAGCCATTTACCTTCAAAGCGTCTGGGGTGTCAGCAAAAAAGTTCAAGCCCATTGCTAAGGTTGGCCTGAAGGAAACAACAAAAGCGTCCAATAAAAAGGTTTCGACAAAAAAGATGCCAACTGGTGCGTCTAAGAAACCAAAGACAAAAACGAAAAAGGTCGCAATGAATAGGGGAGTGGAGATACCAAAAACAGTTATAACGAAAGGGCCGTCGAGAAAAGCCGCGAAGAAGAAAATTAAAGTTGGCAAGGAAGAAACGTTAAAGAAGAAAAGTGTAGTGAATAAGAAAAAAGCACCAAGAAAGAAAACTAAAGTAGACAAGAAAAAGACGCCTGCTAAAAGGAATAAAAAGAACACAACAGCCCTACAAGTAAATGCAATAAAATCAAAAAGTTCTAAGACAAAAAGTTCTGAAGTTGAACAAAGTAATCCAAAGAAAAAGACAACAAGAAAATACTTAAAGGTAGATTACAGATGTTTTCGTTATTCTTTTTCTGTTTCTATTTAAACTGCATCTCTGCTCTGGGAATATGTATCTACTTGTTAGATATGTCTGGGGCCTCTGTCTATTCTATCTATTCTTATGACAGATGACGTCAACTGTATTGTCCAGACAACGCTTTCGTAGATTACGCGGTAATTCTTGGTTGTTACAAAAATAATGGTATATAGGTGGTAATATACATTCCATTATCACTGCTATAAATTCCACACCTAAGTGTTGCTCTCGGTAATTAACTTACTCCTTCTCAAACTCCAAGGATACATCATCCGTTTCAAGGCAGTCGTAACTAATACTCTTTGTATGTATTTGTATGTATATATTCATTGAGTATATTCATATCCATTTCAGAAATACAGGGAAAATACACAACTTCGTATGTCCTACTATCAAAGAACTCCTTTAGCACCCCTAGAATGTTCCGGGTGGGAACTTGGAATTGCTCCAGAGAAGGTGAAAAATCAATCTACCTGGAAACCACGACCAAATGGACCAGGGATGAGACGAGTATCATTATTTAAAAAGCACACCGATCTAAAATCGATATTTGAATTCGCTGTAACAATACCGGGCAGGGTTAAAAAATACGGCGTTTATTACAAAATATGTCAGGGTTATAAAACGAATTCTAGCTGGGATGTGTATCACCTCAGCCAACCGTCGATACTGAAAGAAATCAACGACATCGTTTCCAGAGGTGGTAGTATATATGTCCGACGTTTTTTGTTTACAGACAAAGCTTACGAAAATATGAAGAAACTTTCCTTGACGGAAGAAACAATAATGAGTTATCTTCCAAATAATTATAATTACCCATGGAGAAGACATTTATTTGAGAAAAACACGCGTCACCGAAAAGTTACAAGACATGGATTTGCCATTTCGCATATTGATTATTGATTAAAGACGTTTTTCTGCCTTCAAATATTATATGAATTATAATTTAGACATTTATTCACATGGCAAGTGCATAATCAACTCGTTAGACCAGTGGATGACTTAGGTGTTGAGTGGATTAGACAATATTTGTGTTTAATGCTAATATGGCGAAGACTGCTTTAAACGGACTGGCAATCGAGACTTTATTATAATGGTAATCGAGAATTTGAATATTTCTTGCCGAAACTTAAAACATCCATAACGTTGCTCAAAATAGAATCTGAAGCTTTCAATATTTTAATTTTTCATTATCTGTCGTTAAACTATCGTTGAATTTTCGGGAATATTTAGTATTGGGTAATATTTAGTCTCTATTAATTTCCCCAAAATAGTTTCAGAGTTATATCCTCGGAATCATATGGTAGTTAATAAACTTATCTCAAAATCACACTGCAGCGTCGATTCTTTACGGATATTTATTATATATTCAATGGTTGTTTATTATATATTCAATGGTTGTTTATTATAGGTATTATGGTGGTTCCTATCGGTCATACGATTGTTGATAAACAGGGAAGATCCAGGAATTTTTGCAGGAGGGGGTTTACCAGAATCCTGTTAAGGAAATCTGTCATCATCGTCTCTAAATTACATATGCATACATACAAATTGAGCTTTCAAAAGAGAGAAATCATTTTTGTAATGATGTAGGAACACATTGTGATTTAATTTCATTGATGCAAGGCATTCAATTTTTTTATGTAGCTGAGCAGGGTGGGGTTTGGACCCCATCCCCCCCCCCCCCGGATCCGCCCCAGGATAAATGTACAATAAGTCACCCTATTTTTCCAGGAAAAGTTAGCATTTCGTTAAAGACACTCCCTGTACATTTCTGGACTCGTGTCCGCTATCCGAGCAAACTTCACACATCCCCCACAACAGAAAAAGTGACCATATAGGCGTGCTTCCTGTGAAAGCCAAGTCGATGGGCAAATGTTATTGATGAGTTGGTTGACTGAGACGGGTGCAGTTTTCTTTCATCGTGCCCCCCCACACCGAAAAAAAAAGACCACCTGGGAACTATTTATGAGCAAAACCTGCTCGGCGCTATGCAGATTTAGTTAAAATTTACTTAAAATGCATTTAGTTGCATGGAACGCCAGCTAGAAACAAAACGATTCTGAATAGAAAGCTCATTGCATTTTTCCAATAAGCAAATATTCCCGTGACAGAATTATAGATTCGATAGAGAGAATTACCAAAATTCGAATGAGGGGATCTTTTAGAACAGACTCGTTTGAGCTGCAGAGGGGCCTTATTAGTAAATATGAGGGAAAGGAAATCTGTAAGGCCGCATTGAAACAACTAGAAGTTTTCGTAAGATTTTAGAACGTATGACAGATCAAAACAAATGCGATATAAAACAAAATTCACTGATTAAGTCTAACCAACAAATCACTGATGACATTGTCCATGTGTTACATTCTTGTTTGGGCTGTCAGGTAATAAACGGTTTTATAAAAAAAAATACGAAAATCATTTATAGAAATACAAGGCCGAGAGAAGCCAGGCGCAAAAACTTTAAAATTCTGAGCTTTAATAAGAAGGTAATAGTTTAGACAATATATTTAAAATATATAAATTATTAAAAAAAATATATAAATATTAGAAAAAAATTATTAGCATGAAAATTCTAATTACATCTTTTTGTTTCCACTTATATTCTTTTTTTAAATTTAATTTATTCATTTTAAAAATTAAATGATAGAATTATATTGGTGGGTGGGTCCCCTTTGTCTCCAGGCAACCAATATTTTCAGACCCATTCCGCCACTGAATCTTCCATTACAATGTCATTTTATTTCAAAACACTCCTATACTCTCACTCCAAAACATAAATAGGTATACAGTAGAGTGTAAGGGTAAGGGGAATTATTAATTAGCGAATAGAATAAACATGAAAGTGGGATGAGGGTAAGGGGAATTATTAATTAACGAATAAAATAAACATGAGAGTGGGATGAGGGTCTGAGAGGAGTCATCTATCTGCCAGTACCATACCAAATGACCGACGAAACGTAGAAGACACGCTCCTATGCAAAAGATTTGAGTCTAACATGCAGCACGTTCATTGTACGCAATTATTCAATCATGACTACCAAAGTAAGTACCGTAGACGGAGACAAATACATAATGTTCTAAGCACACATATAATATACTTAATGTATATTCTATTCCGTAGACTTACATCAAAATAATTAGTATCAATATCATAACAATAAAGTATCAAAGATCAGAAGTAAATCCTAAAAAAAAGCCTTTTTGTAACATTCAGAAACACTACGAATTTGGTTTTGTATAACGTCCTTGTAAAATAAGAATCCGTTCGCATTAAATATTCGGTGCATCGAAGTAGAATAAAGAGTTTCCTCCCTTCAGTACTCGATTACGGTGTATTCAGTCCGGCGAAGTCAGTTGGACTACGATTATTGCACAACAGATTGATATACCGCGTGATCATTTTACTACATTATGCTGACTTGTGTTATTTGTTTAATCACTAAGGTAATTATGTACACTACCTGGCAACAGTTTGATAGTTACCTGCATAGGTAAGTGGATTAAGTAAGGGTATCTGAAGGGGTTTATTGATTTCTCCAGATATAGATATATGTAGACTACAATCGGTATTAACCTCAAAAGAGCCCCTCAAATATTTCTCCGTGTTGTGAAATATGGATTTATTGCTACGCCAGCACAATACAGTAGATTTGTCACAGTGTATATCTGTAGGTATATAAGGCTTCGTATCTCAACCGATCGACATTGTTACATTCAAAGCTGTAGAGACACACAACGTCTTTGCAGTGTAGCAATCACTACGCTTACTTCGATGGCTCTACTTTGTACTGAAACTTTACGTAAATGACGCTTACTTCGGAACTGAACCACTTTCTAGTGTGTTCAACCAAAATAACTATACACATGTATAACTAACTCGGTCTAAGAGGGGATCTCCTCACAAGCGACCACGCTATCACACCTCGAGTGTGCTATGTGGTAGAGGGGTGAACCTCAAAGATCCCAATTTGTACGGGTTGTTAGGGTAGAGATATTTTATAACTCATCCTACACTTGTACTTGATGGGGTTTAATTTCAACATTTACTGGAATATGCTATGTGGAAGATGGGTTGAACCTTAAGGACACAAATTTGTACGGGTTGTTAGGGTAGAGATATTTTATAACTCATCCTACACTTGTACTTTATGGGGTTTAATTTCAACATTTACTGGAATGTGATATGTGGAAGATGGGTGAACCTGCAGGACCCCAATTTGTACAGACTGTTAAGATAGAGATATTTTATAACTCATCCTACACTTGCACTGGATGGGGTTTAATTTCAACATTGATTGGAAGTTTCAAAACGACTGTTGATATAAAATCAGTAAAATCAAAGGTGCTTTTATTTCAGATTTTGTGGTACATGTTATTATATCTTTTTTTTAAATATAAATAATCAGCAGTTACGAAGGCTAGAAATGGTAATGGAACAGTCAATATTATATTTCTGGTAATAAGGATTCAACTGACAACAAGTGTAATAGGCCAATTGTCACCTCCACCGGATAAATTAAACATTATTATATGGACCGAAGTAAATCTGAAAACCCAATTCAGAAAACTAGACTACACATTTTATTTCCCTGTTTCATAAATCTGCAGTTTGTAGAGCCACGGAAAAAATCGTTTTTGCTCCTGTTTTCCGGACCCATGGGTAATAATTCTGTTTTTGTCTCTACAAAATGGTACTAATTCAACTGGACCAAGGTTATAAATTTGATAGTTTATCTATTGTGGGTCTATCTCTCTTTCAACTCATCAAAAACTAGTTTCATGAAGTATAATCTCTTTAAGTTTATTATCATTTAACAACAGATGATAACGATTAACTGCAAAATATATGAAAATAAAAGAATATTGAGAAATTGAGTTTTAAACTGACAAAATAAGTCTTTCTATGTTTCAAAATGTTCATTGTTGTTTCATAAATGTTTTGATTCCCTGCTTGATTTCAAATTCAAGACGAAATATAACATAAAACATTTGGAAATTCTACTTTTCTATTTAAATCACATGCACTGTAAATAACAACAAACTATGGCCTTAGTCCAAGACAAAAAACATGCGGTGACTAATTAAGATACGATTTCTCACAATTGTATGCAAATGACACATGCTAAATTATTGTTTAAGGTGTTATTGAGACCTATTTGCGTTTATTATTACCGAATTGTTGACGACCACGTCCTATTTCTTTGAATTAACGTTGAAAGGTTACAAACACCGTATATTCGTCATACGCCGACTTCATTTTCTAAGAGAAGATAACTCACAGATAAGGGGGAAATCTCACAAGACAATAAATAACCAATATAGTGAAGTCTCGCAAAAACGATAAATAACACTTGACATCCCCATAGGAAATGAAATGAAATAAAATGGGGTTTAACGTCCTACTGTTCTGCTCCTAACCTGGGCTAATGAAGACGGGCATACGCCATACAGTGTATGAGGGAAATTTTGCCCGGACAGCGGCACTACGGCCTACTCTTATATCGAATTCCAACTGCCAAGGGATCTTTTACGTGAACGCCAATGTGTACATGGGACCTCGGTTTTTGGTCTCATCCGAACGACTAGACAGCTTTCCTTGTCAGCCCCTCCGTCCTGCATCACTTACAAGGGAGAACCACGCCGGAAAATCTGGATGAACTTTCTCGGCCAATGCAGGGATCGAACACCCGACCTCCAGGAAATAAGGTCAACATAAATTAAGATCTTAAACAAAATGATATGCATTTTTTTAAATTTACACCAACCCTTAGATAGTCTCTGTCACCCAGAACTCCCTAGTCTTCAACGTACGGAGGGTCTGGGGCCGTTGTCAAAATTTGACGGAAAGTCCATTGCCCGTGTCACGTAGGGTGACCCACCATAAATAAATATCTCCAAATATCTCGACAATTACGCCACAATATTTATATATATGCCAAGCCTCAAATCAGTTTCACACAATTATAGTCACTAAATAAACGATCATGTTGTACTTATAATAAGCTATGACCATTAATCATCTAACCAGTCTATCGACCATTCTACGTCTGATTGACAAGTCGGGATAATCAAGACTACTTTTTTACGAAACATAACAGAAAGCTAGAACAAGAAATTGAATTTAGAAATAAGCACTTTAGACAACTCAACAATTGTTTTAAGTAACTTGTAAAAGTAAAATGAAACTACTGCTAGTATCATGTTCCTGCTAAAGAAAGTGATTCAGAGATAGTATTTGTACTAAACCAAAAGATGCCGCTCTTAACGGTACAGTTAATGATAAAGCAATTTAAAAAATAAAACTAACGTAATTTCTAAACCTGCTGTAATAACCAAGAAGCTAAATTTTACTGCTATTCAAAATCGTCAACAATAGATTTTTTACGGCTGTAATAGTTGATATATTTGTAGAGAATTGCACGTGCCATGGCTAGTTATCGACTCAAAGAGAGTGCGGGGTAGTCAGAAATCAGTTCGAGACACGCAAGTGAAGCGTGCACATTTAGCCGTGTCGAGACCAACTTTCTGTAGAGTGCACGGGTCACCCTACAATTTGAGGTGGGAAACTTCAAGTTTGTTTGGTTGACTTTTTATCGCAGACGACGTCGAGTTGTCAAGCGAGGCCATTTGAAAACAATGTAAATTCAATCGTAGGAGTTACCTCCCCCCAACTATGACAATAGGTCGCTGAATAGTGTTTTTGCTTTTAGCATTATCGAATTTCTGTTTTTGTCATGCAACGCTCAGCCGAAGTGGAGTATCGAGATTTAATAATACTTCACTTTATATATTATAATGTAAAGTAAATGTTTTCGAGGGCGTGTTTGTGGTGGAAACTTCTGTGTTAGGTAACATATTGTTTTAAACTCAAAAATTAAATGGTGTGTGTTATCGAGCATTATCGAATATTACATTCTCGGAAAAAATTATATAGTATTGTCTACAGTAATGCTAAACTTATAATAATGGATGGTGATACAAAGTCTACGCAATCAACATATATTTAATTCAACAAATTTAAAGATGTATTTGGTTGTTACGTGCCGTCATGAACTACACAAGCTAGAGAAGATTCCTTTTGAAATTTCACTGCCTCTATTGTTGGAATGACAAGCATCGGAGAAAATTGAATGCATGTACTCTATAACACATCTTGACAAAGAATTTGCCGCTGTTTTCTGTATCGATATTCACCTTTATAGAAATCTAAGGTACCATTGATTCTTTAGAGCAATCAAATATATAAACCCCACAGCCAGAACGTTCCATTACCGGGACCCCCCCCCCCCCCATTCAAAAAAACAAAATTTTACGGATGTAGTTATTAAGGACATATATCTGGGGCAGTTGAGATTTTATCATAATCGTGAAAACCTTATTTTGGCCTACATATTCGTTCAGTGTAAATAGTCAACAATACGTGTACTATCAATCTTTACGATAGCTGTATGGAACATTTTAGCATATGTTATATTGATTTAGGCTATAAATAGTTGTTGTCGTAGAAATATTGATCAGGTAAGTGCAATAAACAATTATGACTTCTTGAATTACCTGTAGTTGCTTTCAGGTAAACAAAGCACTATTTAGCATCTTTGAGCTTTTATTGGTACCATGAGAATTCATCTTTCAAGGGAATCTACGGACTCCTTGTTGAATAACATGCAGATTTGAAAAAAATGATTCTGATATCCAGGTACAAACAATTGCCCTATTTATAGTTACTATAGTAATGGCGGTTAACTATTATGTCCTTGTATTTTATGTGCAAATGAATGACGGCAATTTGATGATAAGCTTAAACTATCCAAATGGGTACGGTTGTCATTTCAGCCTCTAGTGGTCACCCAGAGGGATAACGCTGGGTGGAAATATCTACGTGAAGGGATGTCGGTGTGCTTTCAGGGGACCGCTTTCTGTGAGCGGGGGGGGGGGGGGGGGGGGGGGGGGCTTGTGACAAAATAACGCCTAGCCCCGTGAAAGCATATTTGTAACGACGTGTTAGGTTCCAGTCGGCGCATTACCTTAATGTGATTCAGGTTCAATAGATCACAGCCAGGACAGCAACGTGGTCCGGGCCGCACCTGCAGAACATATCCACGGCGGTTCTGGTTAGGCTATACGTCACTTGTACCCAGGAGCAACCTCGAAATTAATTATAAAGTTTTGTCTGGATTCACGTCGACTGATCCCTCCCATAAGGGGCTTCATGTTGCATTCGATCGGTATCGTGTTTATACTTATTTTCTCGGCTAAGGGTTAGGAACGCCTCCGATCGGACGATGTCCGCTGACCGTTCCTATCCGTCCATATATAGCTGCAATATTAAAATATCGCTTCCACACACCTCTGTTCTGAAGGTATTTTGGAATCCTTACTATTTTTCACCGTGATTCTTTATTTTTCGCCGAATGGGACCATTTCTAACCATATCTGACACAACTATAATAATTGAACACTATTTTCAAGTACAATGTTTGGATTAAAAAAACATACACAACATACGTTTGAACTGATCAGCCATTACGAGAATCGAACGTACGCAGACCACGTGTTTTTTAAACGCAAAATTCTACATTTTGAAAATATCTACTGCAAACTTTACAAACTTGAATTTTTTTAAGACTATATTGCCAATAGTTTATATACATGTAAATGAATGCTAAATCAAATGATCTTGAATGTGAATAATAGAATCCAATTTCCGTTATTAATCACTTTAGTTGAAGATGTATTATGTAAGAGCTAAATCGTCCTATTAACGGTCTTTATTTTGTGAAATGTAATATAAACTACTAGTTAAACATGCCTATAATTAACTCTCTAGAGCATCGGTTGGAGGAGATTGAAATGGGTTAGAACACATGCGAGACATAGAAATTTAACGATAAAATGAATAATCAAGATTTAGTCTCGGTTGTCATCTGCCGTTGCTTCGAAAATAAACAATCTACACTAGATATTCATATTCAGCACTATTATCCTTCGTTAATAAAAAAATAATTTGAATGATATATTCAATATATTCATTTTCCATTATCTATTTTTGAACTATTATAACAAGAACTTCCTGCTCTTTATCTAAATCTTACATAATGCATCTTTAATACTTGCTAATCTTTGTACATGCACACCGCACCTCACCAATATCGATAAGAAGTGATAAAGAAATACGAAATGTACTCAAATATATGTTTATATTTTTATTTTTTTATTTTAGGATTTGCGAAATGTGGGCTGTTTTATTGACAACAGCTTGTATCATAGTTAAAGGTAGATAACCCTTACTATCTTAAGTTACAGCATAAATTGCCCAAGAGCATATTTTTTCCGATAACTGGCGTATACTAAATTTTCAATTTGATATGGATTTTCAGTAACTGGAGATAATACAAAAGTTATGAATTGTTTTAGAATTGTTTATTGCAAGTTTAGAGTAAATCGAATTCCCGATTACTGATACTGACGATAGTAGTACCTGCCACTAGTAAAACAAATGTCTAACTGTATCGTCTAATTAAGCTATATTAATTTCAGTTAGTGGAGATATTGATTTGGACCTTAAGAAATTACAACAAGATTTTTATCAATGGCGATTAAAAGATTCTCCAGAATTTTCTTCGGAAATTGGACAAGTTGAATACAATGACCTTGTCACAGATTTCAGTGTTCAGCAATTCGATAGAAGAAAGGTTAGTTTTAAAGACGTAACGAAAGTTAGAAAATGGAAATTTTGATATGTATTTGAATTTTGCATGTCCCATCATGATACTTGGCTTATTTGCCTTTAAATGTTAATCTTAGTAAGGCACTGGCTCACTAACCTGAAGGTCTTAGGTGGTAGACCCCAGTGTTGGTCGAGTACGTTCCCCCGACATTAAAGGGACTATCCCGATTTAAACAGAGTCTCAAAATTAAAAGTCCGAGTAAGTATAAAATTTAATCGGCAAAATATAGAGGAATGGTGTATTTACCCTGTCCCAAAAATTCAGCTCAAAATATTGAGTCGTTTGGACGTGAACGCCAAAACTGCTTATCCGGACACGTAACCCTTTTAAGATTTCGGATCAATTTTTTCGTTGGGTGACCTGATAATCGATTCCCGTTCATTTAGAGGTCTATACAGTGAATGACCAATGTGCTGTACTTGATAACGAAAGGTAAATTTCACCTACACATTATTTTTATAAAATAAAAGTCTGGTTTTATCCAGACACCGCATAATACAGCTTGGGACACCGGTCTCTATTTCTAGATTAAGAGACTGACGGGTTTAAGTTGTTTGAAAACGTATCACATATATTGAGTTAGTTGCTCGACCCTAGGGTAGAGGATTTTAAGGGATTTTAACACAAACTAAGCAGTTTTATTCTCCAAACTATTTTCGGGATTGGCCCTTAAAGAAAGTTTGCGGACTGGTTTCCACTCTCCAGTGATGTACACACCTTCAACCACCAACAAGAGGTATTAGTTATGTGTTTCTTTCTATTTCTATTTCAGAAAATCGTTGAAGACTATATCATGAAATTAAATAAAATAGACAGAATACGCTTGTCTAAAGATCAACAGTACAGCTATGATGTCTTCTTGGATACCATGCAGACCTTCGTCGATAATTACAAATGGAGATAGTAAGTCTTTGTAGCGGCTAAATGAACAATATGACACATTTTCAGAAACAGTAGTCTTAAAGAAATTTATGTTTTAACTATTTAATACTAGCCTTCATGTTTCCCTAAATGTAATTGAAGTATATGATCTTAGTTTGTAATTTTCATACAGCTATGGAGCCCTGAATCCCATTACAGCCATAGAGGGGTTTCAGACAGATCCAGCTTTTTTTCTGAAGGTAACACCATTTGATACAAAGGGAGATTTTGAAAACTACATTGCTCGTCTTATAGCATATCCAAAACAGGTACAGTATAAAATCTTTCTCTAAATTGACAAGAATTGTCACTGGTCAAGAATGCCAACCTTAGTAAAATACAGATGGTTATTGTCCAAACTCCGCGATCATTAATTTGTTGTTACAGATGTATCATTATTGTTTTTATTTGATGTTAATTTTATCCATAGTTTAATATATGGCCCTGATTCAACCCTTAAAAAATGATGGCTTATGGAATACTGAAGCAAAAAGACGGATGATATAATAGCAGAGGGTGTTTTTGTAAATTATTAAACTGTTGCGTAATACGGGTTTAGTTTATCGCCTAGGACAAAAATCGAAATACAAGACCAAATCAAATTTATTTCTATGAACAATAGTCATTGTCATTCCATAACAAATTAGTCGTTTTAAAAATATTGATCTATAAATTTGCCTTGTACCTGATTTGGTATCATTCTGAATATAATGAACCGTTCCTAAATCAAATTGGGCATAATGTCTGATGTGAGGTTGTAGTTTTTCTCTTACAGATTGACCAGATTATTGAAAGATTCAATATGGCTATCAAGGTTGAAGCAACGTATCATAATGTGACCATAGTAAGTATTATCATGAGCTATTATAAGTTCAGTTGCCCAATAAATAGCATTGAATGGCGTTTGGCATCATACTTCTTTTTTTCTGAACAAACTGCGATATGCGATATTGTCGGGATTGCTGTACCTAAATCGCCTCTGTGGCTATTTTGTGTGTTTAGCCCGCTGTGTCTTGATTCTCGGTATGTTTTAGTAGCTACTGAACTTTGGGATGCTGAATTAGGGTTAATTTATAATACTGGAAAACACCCACGGCTCTTCCTCCCACCCTTCCCACAACCGTAACAAATGTGAAAGCCATGTTCATTTGGTCCATGTTTTATTGAATTTCAGTCTCATGTTCCAAGTCAACTGGCAAAGCTAATAGTATCAGATCCTACACAATCGGTTTACTTCACACCATTTAATGATACTATTAAGAAACTGACCGTACCACAAGCTGAAATGTGAGTTCGATATATTCTCCCTCCCACTCCCTTTAATATAATGTTCATCAAACATCGTATACCAATTTGTATATGCCCACATTTCACTTCCATGTGTATTGTTTAATCTCCTCTTTATATGTCTGTACATTGGTAAGTCCGTCCGTTTGTCCACATTTCCTATAAAGGTCATTTGTCCACGTTTTCTACGATTGGATCCCTATTTAGATTCAGTGGGCCATCTCTGGTTCATCATTAGGTCAAGCCCCGTGGTTTGGATCCCAGGATTACTTGCCTAGTCTCGTGAGTGTTCTGCGAGTTCTCCGGCTTCTTCACGCTGCTAAAGAACCATGCAAGAGAATTGTCGAAATACCGATATAGCAAGATGTATTAGTCCCGAAATAGCGTAGTTTATTTGCGTTGAGTGGACATTGACATATCTTGAAATTCGAAGTCTTTTCGCAATACAGACCCTGTCAAGGAAACATTGTAAACGTTCTAGTTTCCTAATTTGCTTCAATGGTTCGGCTAGTCTTCAGTTAAGGGCGTTCGGAATCGTGTAACCCTCTTTTCCCTGTACATGAACATCTGAAAGCAACACCCAACTAGCCAATGGGTGGTGTATATTCGTAGCAGTGCGATGCTAGGCTTTAAAACCCAATAATAAGATTTTTATAAATCAGAGAGTTATAATAGTCTTTTATTTTACTAAAAACAAAATAAAGTACAGCATCGAATAAAGGAGCGTTATGGGAGATTTGATAAAGAGTTGACAACTCACGCTATAATCGTTGCAAATAAATAACGTAAAGCGAATATGCTGAAAATTTCAGTCCAATTACTCGACTCTGAACAAAGATGCTAGATTTTGAATTTTAAGCTGGATGGTGTATATTCGTAGCACGGCGACGCTAGGCTTTAAAAACCTATAAGAAGATTAACATTTTAAAATCAGAGAGTTATAATAGTCTTTTGTTTTACTAAAAGCATAATAAAGTACTGTATCGATTAAGCTGTTGTTTTATTTAAATTATTTAGATACGATATGGTAAAAAGAGGAAAAGAAGCCACGGCTAATTTCATTAAATCTATAAAAGTATTAAAATCTTTCATAGAAACGGTAAGTACTTGAAACAAATCTCACTATATAGATATAGTGAATAGACATAAAAGTTATTGACTTGTAAGGCCTGTTCTGTGCACGCTATCAATGAAGTACCGACGAATAATCATTGTTTGTTTTGTGCACGCTATTAATGAAGTACCGACGAATAATCATTGATCTGCCGCGAATCCCACCCACTATCAATGAATAATCATTCGTCTGTCGTAAATCACAATATCGATGAATAACCATTTGTCTGCGGTGAATCACACTTTATCACCCAATAATACATTCTACAGTAGATATCGCTTGTGTGATATATTTCATAATCTACCGCTTTACAAGAATTTGATTGGTCAGTTGAAAAGGAACTACTTTTTTTTATTTTCAAAGAACAGTTCATTTCTTATTAAAAGTAACTTTTTTTTATATTAAAAATGAACTATTGTTATTCAATTGACCTTGATGGAAACACTGGGCCAATATAAGTGGTTGAATTGCTGTCGGTAAATGATTTATCACTACGCCGTAGTGTTCAGTAAAAGTGAAATCTACAGCAAATAATTATATTTATCTATTTGTGCATGCAAGAAGGGATTGGGTGATAAATAAAACCTCCTATTCGTCTTTTTTGATATCAGAAAATATCAACACTCGTTGATAAAGTAAAAAATACTCGGCAGAGCCTCGTTTTTTGTTACTTTTTCAACTTGTGTTGATATTTTTTGATATCAAAAAAGACTGGTAGGAGATTCTTTATATCAACGAGAAGTCATTGCTCTGATGAACGAATAATCTTTAGTCTGCCTTGAATTACACCATCAACGAATATTTTCTCCGATAGGTGGGTGAAATCTATTTCTCAATGCATGATTTTATAGTCAGTTCAACTGATTTGTTGTTTTTATTTTAAATAAAAATCAAACGTGTACATCTCCAATACCATGTGTTAAACCCATAATTTAGACTTGTATTGGTCATATGTTTTACATTAAAGAAGCTAAATCGCTAAATATTTGGGACCTAAAAATTGACGCAGCGCAAGTTATAATGTAATATGAATGTATATAAATCGATTTACATTCAATCGTTTCCGTTTTTACCCTAATTCCAAATCAGTTACCAGAAGTCTCAGTCGAATGGCAATCTCTATCGTCTGTTTATTCCAGTCTACACCGATAGTATTTATTGCGCATGCTCTCCGAATAAGAATATGACGTCACCGTTTGACATGACTTGTGAAATATGTCTAGCCTCGTTCATTGAGCCCCTTGTTACAAATGGCGCTGAAACACATTGTACCAATGATAAAATGTTTATTTTGTCTTAAATATTGCATATCAGATGCCCAACTTTTCTTGGTAAGATCACATCAAATTAAATTGACAAATTATTCGGTAAGATCACAACATCAAATTAAATTGACAAATAATTAGTGTTTTCAATGTCGAAGACTCTGGATGATATTGAGTTAGAGACTTAGCTACTTTAATATATTAGGAGCCACGGTGGCTAAGAGGGTAAGACGATGGCTCGCTAGCCTGGAGGTCGCGTGTTTGATTCCTGCATTGGCCGAGAAAGTTCATCGGGATTTTCCGACGTGGTTTCCCCTTGTCAGTGGTACAAGGCGGAGGGCCTGACAAGGATAGCTGTTAGTCGTTCGGATGGGACGAAAAACCGAGGTCCCTTGTATACATTGGCGTCCAAGTAAAAGATCCCTTGGCAGTTGGAAATCTATATAAGAGTAGGACATAGTGCCACTGCCCGGGCAAAATTTCCCTCATAGCACACCGTATGGCGTATGCCCGTCTTCATTAGCGCAGTATATGAGCAGAACGGTAGGACGTTAAACCCCATTTCATTTCATTTCACTTTAATATATTGCTAACTTAGTTTTTAGTAGATATCAAGTTTTCAAGATTTGTTTTTCTTAATTTAGACATATATGTCAAATACGAGAAAGTCGTATGGGGTAGATGGGTGGAAAGACGGACAGGAGTATTACAAAGCCTGTTTAAAATGGCACTTATCAACAGATATGTCTCCAGCAGAAGTTCACCAAAAAGGCTTAGATGAAGTTAAAAGAATTAAAGAAGAGATTACAAAGGTAAAAAACGCATATTTGTCTTTTCGTATTTCTTCATACTAATCGAATTATTGAAATAATGTTATTTCACAGTCAGAGGCATCCGCGGTATCCCCATTGGTTTCATTCCCTTTCACTCCACTAACCCCTGGGTTAATCTATGGGGGAGACACGTTTTCAAGTTACCCGCCCTGAATAATTGTGCTATTTTGATCGACCAATCCAATAAATCGTTAACTGAATAGGAAGTAGAAAAAGAGAAGTAACTCTCGTCGACAAGGTTTGGAGTTAGCCTAAATGAGAGAAGTCCGAATTAATCTAAATGCATATTTATTACTAAAAAATTATACACTATTATATTATTAATGAAGACCGGATGTTTATATATACTATTCAAAAAAGTAGGGGATATTTGATTTTTAAGTGTTATTAAAGTCACCTAATGAAACTGACGAAGAAACAAATGACAAAATGAAATGAAGTTCACATTCATCGATTTATTCCAAATGATCGTTAGACTAAGTAAGGCACAGACTGACCATTATAAGGGTAAAATGATACCCGGGGTCAAACAGCAAAGTTACCACAGCATCACAACCAAGTCAGTAACGGGTAAATCCTCCTCTGTTTGCCAAACAAGCATTGATCCGACGTGGCATACTCCTAATGAGACGTCTAAGGTCATTTTGGTCCAGATTGTCCCATTCCTGTTGCAACGCAGCAGCAAGTTCTTGGACATTGGCAGGACGTCGTTGACGTTGACGTAACCTCTGTCCAAGCATGTCCCAGACATGCTCGATGGGGGAGAGGTCGGGACTCAGTGCTGGCCAAGGTAATGTGGTGATGTTCTGTTGTTGGAGGTAACCTGTAACGATCCTGGCCCTGTGACATCTTGCGTTGTCATCCTGGAAGATGAAACGGCGGCCATGACGTCGTGCGAACGGCACAACATGGACTGCCAAGATGTTGTCCCGGTAGTACTGGCCTGTAACACGCCCTGCAACAACATGTAAAGCCTTTCTTCCCGCATCACTGATCCCTCCCCTCTCCATAACAGAACCACGTCCAAATCGATCATGTCTGATGACGTTAACGTCTTGGAAGCGCTCGTTTCGACGACGACACACCCTCCTAAGTCTGTCCAAAATATCAACAGTGAACCTTGACTCATCTGAAAACATCACATTGCTCCAGCGTCGATTATCCCAGTGTTGACGATCCCTACACCAACGACGTCTTGCCTGAATGTGATGATCTCTCAAACAAGGGATCACGCGAGGACGTCGGGCGCGAAGGTGACCACTATGCAGTCGATTCCGAATCGTCTGGCCACTCACTCTCACACCAGTGTCTGTTTGAAGACGAGCGCTGATCTGATTTGCTGTGATGACACGATTTCTCAAGGCCAAGGTACGGATAAATCGATCCTGGGCTTGAGTTGTCGCCCTTGGTCGACCTGAGCGTGGTCTGTCCTGTACAGATTGTGTATCACGGTATCTGGACCATAGCCTGCTTATGACAGACTGAGAAACATTCATCGTCCGCGCCACAACCGCCTGTGTTGTGCCGATCTGTAGCATGCCAAGGGCACGTAACCTTTCATTTTGGGTAAGCCGACGCATATCAAAATTTGTTTTCTGGTCACTAAAACAATTAAACTGATGTTTCCACCCTGGAATTCAATGCCACAATGACTGTAACATTCAAAGTCAGAGTCGTGCAAATCTTGGGTTGGACCCCCATGATGATCCCAAGCATCACCTGCATTCCATGCGGTAGCTATTGGTGCGTTTGGGCGTCACATGTAACTGGAAATGTTTCTTCTGTTAGGTTCTATAGTGACTTTTTTCGTAGTCATTTGCATATTTTAGTATTATGCCCCCAAAATCAAATATCTCCTACTTTTTTTGAATAGTATACATATGTAGGGTCAAGAGTTTTTTTGAGTATCGTTCCTTCGTTCGTTCGTTCCCCGAGTTTTATGTCCACGTGATATCGTAGACAAGTTATTGTGAATCAAATTGCCAAGTATAAGTTCAATAATAATAAACATAACAGAATAAAACGTTTCATACAAAGGACGAATAGTAATAATAATAACAAAAGTCAAACATATAGATGTTGTATATATTTAAAATCTGATCATACAATTAAATATAGATGAATTAGAAATATAGACATTATTTACATAAATCATTCAGTAAATCAACATAAATATGGTACGAATGGTTTGTAAACTGGTTTTTGACTGGTTCGTAGACTTTAGCTACAATTAAGGCCAGGGCAGATAATTTGAAATCGTGGAAACCCTATAGATTAACCCAGGGTATAGTGGAGTAGAACGGAATGAGAACACTGGGGATACCGAGGATGTGTCAGAGGTTAGTCCTGAAAAGAGCCTTTAGTTACACGGCTTTCAGTTATAAATCTGATCTGCTATAAAGAATGTAGGACATATCAGCTGAGAGATAAGTTTGTCTTTATATTTTCAAACCTTTCATTTACAGTTAATGAGGGAAAAGGAAGATTTTAAAGGAACGTTATCTCAGTTTTATCAAATTATTAAAGCACGGCCATCGCTTCACATGTCAAACGGTGTAAGTACGAAACGAAACATTCATGTCTATAACTGTATAAATGTATATCTCTTATTTAAACATAACTTTCTGTGTGACAATTAGATTTGCCCTAATAGAAGATGTTTTATGTTGTAAATTATGATGCACCGCACAGCTTAATCTGGATGGATACATAACAAGATACTACTGTAAATATTATGTGGGTCTTTAAACCTCGAAATAACCCTATATTTTTGGTCTATAATTTAGTCTACATTAACGGTCAACGCCATGAGAACGACACATCTCGGGCCTTTTAAACAAATAACAATCATCACCGTTTCATTAAGTTAAAGAATGGCATATATATCTAGTTTTTTTCTTATAACAAAATAATATATTGTTCTGATTAAAATTACTCAGAAATGATTCTTACTAACAATGACACCTATGGTCTTCCATACGACAGAAATGAGAAATGTTACATTCAAGGAAAGGAATTCGGGCCTTTTAAACAAATAGCAATCACCACCGTTTCACAAAGTTCAAGAATGGCATATGGCTATTTTTTTCTTATAACAAGAAAAATATATTCTTCTGATAGAAATTATTCAGTAATGGTTCTTACGATCCAAATGACACCTATGGTCTTCGATACAACATAAATGAGAAACTTTACATCCATGGAAAGGAAATGCAATGAAATGGGGTTTAACGTCCTACTGTTCTGCTCCGAAATGGGCTAATGAAGACGGGCGTGAGGAAATTTTGCCCGGTCAGCGGCACTACTGCCTACTCTTATATCGAATTCCATCTGTCAAGGGATCTTTTATGTGCACGCCAATGTTTTTCGTCCCATCCGAACGACTAGACAGCTGTCCTTGTCAGGCCCTCGACCCTGCATCACTGACAAGGGGGAATCACGAAGGAAAATCTGGATGAACTTTCTGAGCCAATGCAGGGATCGAACACCCGACCTACAGGCTAGCGAGCCAGCGTTTTATCCACTTAGCCACCGTGACGCCCAACCAAGGAAAGCACTTCGCTTTAAGAGATTTGAGCAATAGAATATAACTTTTTTTTTCAGTCCTCTTAACTTGTTTGTATAATGCGAATAAATTAGATAAACTTGCCAATATTTCGAAATGCTTTTCAGCTTGAAGGCAAATACAACAAGGAAGTTATTGCTTAAATACGCAATGATTTAAATTTAATTCAACCACAGAAAATAAAAGAACAAAAACTATACAACTATATAAATTATTAATTAGATATTTATTAACATAAAAAGATCATAATCAACTCTCGATGCCATCTTATGTGTCGAATTTTCACTGGATTTGAATCCGATCAGATGCTCAACGCTCATTGATGATTAAATCCAAAAAGTCGATAATCGAGACTATTTTTTTTTATTGTATCGTATTTAGTAATGATGATCGAGGCTAGGACTAACATTCAATTGCTAATATCTCGGTCCTGAGTGTGAAGCAATTTGACTGAAATTTTCAGCATATTCCCTTTACATTATCTAGTTTTTAACTATTATAGTGAGAATTGCCAGTTCTTTCTTTAATCTTCCATAATTCCCCTTTTAGCGTGGACTATCTTCACATATATTTATTTCTGCCTCAAAATGGTGCAAATGTGGGTTGACTGCAAGCAGTCGTTGGACTTGTTTGACGAAATTTAAAATGGCTATTGGGTAATGCTGATAATGTCGACAATAAAGAGAAAGTGTTTGTGAAAAATATATGTTTTATGTACTATCGTCTCTTTTGGGCCGTTATATCCAAGGGACATGTGGTTAGTTTTGGAAACAGCATTATGGCATTTTTAGGCTAAGTTGGGCGTAATGCCGCCTTTTGAACCTCCTTAAAGATGTATTACGACCCATACCGTTATCTGTTTTTTTCTTTCAGGGAGAATTATTACAGGAATACAATAACATTATATTTAAAAGAATTTACCCAGCTCTACCAAAGATGTTTAAGAATTTACCTGATTTAAAAGTTGTGTAAGTTTAACAAATATCTATTTCATTCATTACAATTAAATCATTGGCGAATATATCGTCACGTTGGATTTATACGTGGTATTGTGTATTATGTTACATTTTGATTTGATATTTTAGGGTAGAAGAAGAACCCTATGATGGTCCTGGTGGTCAATATATTATTGGTACTGAAGACGGTTCTAGACCAGGAGTATTTCAAGTTAACCTATTAAAACCTGCAGAATCGTAAATTATTTAAACAATTTTTTATCATTGGTCTTCCATTATAACTAGATACAAATCAGCAATGATTTGACCACATGCAGTTGATCTTCCACCTATTTTTAAGTGTAAACGAACATGGCTACTGGAAAAGCTAAACATATGGGTTAGAATCTAATTCACCAAGAAATATTCATCTTAAAGTACTTCCTTAAATTAAGTAGTTCGCCAATTAACTGCATTACTTTGGTGGTTTCCTGACGTTACAAGACCTCATTGATTTGAGACCCCGATCTGACAATTGAACGGCTAAAGATCAATCAAGTGTTGAGATATACCCAAATGTATGTTCCATAGTCGATCTAATATTAATATTATTAAACAAGACGACTTCCGCATAATCTTTCGAAGCAAATTTCAGAATAATTCCATTCAGTAATTTATTTTTATCTAACTCAAAGTAGGTTTGGTTACATTGTGTTGCCTGGTATAACCATTCTATTGTATTTTTCAGACCAACATTTAATATGATGGCTTTAAGTCTACACGAAACTGTTCCTGGTCACCATTTACAAGTAAATATAAAGTTATTTTCTGAGATACAAATCGGGTATTAAACCAAAAAATACAAAATCATATGATTTATTTTAGCGTATTTTCTACACACGCATTCAGAAGACTGTGTACTGTAGCCGGTGTTCTATCCCGTGCTATGAAAATAGAATACAGTGTCTGTCACTTGTTTAACATCGTGGGTTATTGTCAGGTTTTCCTGTTTTTACGCACCGCCACTGACCTGAGCACCAATCAAATTAGTTAGAAATATGCCATGTTTGCCCCGAAATATCTGTGTATAATTAAGGATGAACTGTATCACTGGTTATTTGTTGAACTCTGTTGTGGGTTATTATTTTCAAAACTTTTAGAAAAAATTAGACATGGGGCGGGGGGGGGGTGGATGAGAGACAGAAAATATTGATTATTGGCGGGCGGGGGCAGAATAGATGGAATTGTTCAGGTAGTCGTTTTATAGATTTAGAAACATTCTATCCAAAAGTCCTTTGAAACGCATGCAGTTTAATCTAAGACTCTTGAAATATTTTCCCAATTTACTGACCATGCTACCATCTGGAAAGCAGGAATTGTGGTTTATCGAATGAAGTTTCATTTATGTAAAGAATGTTATAGTCCAGGACACACGGCACCCAGAACAGGTCATGGGTCTATTTAAAGGGAATCGTTTTATTATGGAGTTTAGGGTCTTTTTTATTGTCGATCTACCCTACTTGTAATACTAACTACTCGTTAACTAGTTGGATATTTTCTAACGAATTATAATAAATATATATATATTAAACAGGGTGGTTACGCATTGAAGGCTGGTCTTCCAGGATTTCAGAAGAATATAGAATATGAACGATATTTCGCCATTCCTTACCATTTCCCATTCTATACGGCATATACAGAGGTAACTTAATTAGATTTACGCATAATCTTTTGCAAGAATGGGTGCAATTATATTACAGATTTGCGTAATGTGCTTTCTAACTGACCAGCTTGTTTTGTCCTAGTAAGTGGTGCAGAGCGTCTAGTTATTCGGATATTACGAAAAACCGAGGTCCCACGCAAGGAAACCAATGACAATTGGAATTCTAAATTAAGAGTAGATTGGGCAAAACTTTACCTCATGGCGTATGTCCGACTTCATGAAGAAAAGTAGGACATTAAACACCCATTTCATTTCATTTACTACACTTTTCTCAACAGATGGCCCCACATTCAATTTATTGATGGATATTCTCCAATAGATTTTGTATTTTAGCTGACGATTAGGATTTAACAGTGCTTATTTTCCTTTAAAAGGGCTGGGGTCTGTATGCCGAGTCATTGGGCGAGGATCTGGGACTATACAAGAATTACATGGAATTGTAAGTAATGACTTCATATTGTATTATAGAAGCAACATTAATATAAATCTGGGGATCGAAGATGCCCCCCCCCCCTACACACACACACACACCCACACACACCCACACCAGGTATATGCATAATTAAAGTCATTATATGCATTAATGCAAAATAGCCCTCTCTTGTCGGTGATTTGTAACACCGTTTTTGTCAAAATTTCAACTATACATAATTTGTTCAATGTTTTGGATATGATGTGTAGATACATGTATAAATACATGCATACAACATATTTTCCTTGTCGGCCACTTGGACGCTGCTGACAAAACCCTCTTGTTGATGATTATTAGAACCCATTTTGATGAAAACACAGATCCTATTTAGTTTCGTTTTTTATAGTTCAAACTTCCGTATTACTTTTCTTTACTACACTAGGACCTGGAAGAGTTGTTATATAACCCGCGTTCTGGTTGATGTAAGGGATTAGTCAATGAAAAGATCCCTTGCGGCGAGTTCTTGGCGTGCGGTGCACGGAACTCTGGGTATTTCACTAGATACATCAACACTGATTGGTTAATCAAATGCCTGACGTAACGGGGTCATATGCCGCTCGTATGACCCTTGACACCTCCCGCTACAACCTGTCAGATCTTCATGTAGTAGAGGCCATTGAAAGTATGAAAAAAAAACCCAAACGAAATATAGGTCTGTTATTTTAATCAGATTGATTAGAACCATTCGGGCCAAATTTAAGATTATCCTTAACTGTTTTATGAAATCGTTTCGATTTGGATATGATATGTAAAATGTTCATATCTCTCACAAATCTTTCCCTGTTGGACACTTTTTGCAATACTTTGGGCGCTGTTGACAAAAGAAACGCTCTTGATGGTTCTTGTAGATTGGTATAGGACCTGATTTGCAGATCGAAAGAAGCGATGAATAGTTTAATAGGCATATTGGGAACCGCGAAACATACAAATTAAAACCCGAGTTTGTAACCCCACGATCTCTGTCATACGTGATTAAATATTCGATGTATTACAAATGTAGACAGGTTTTCCAAAAAAACAAAAAAAAATACCAGAACAAAACCATTAAAAATTTAAACATATATTATGCAAGAGCGAAATCTGCCTATTGTAGGTCATTCCTTAGGCCTGAAATGTTATCTGAATTATTAATTAGACATTAATTAACTTCTCCAGACCATAAACAACTCTCGATGCCATCGCTAGTCTGTGATATTTAGCGGGTTGGAATACATTTATTGAAAAATAATTAAAAGTAAAAATGGATAATCGAGACTTTGTTTTTTATCGTACCGACTATAGTAAAGATGATCGAGGCTAGGCTAAAATTCAAATGCTAATATCTCGGTTCACATTGGAGCAATTTGACTGAAATTTAGTAAAGATGATCGAGGCTAGGCTAATCTTGGTTCACATAGGAGCAATTTGACTGAAATTTTCAGCATATCCTATTTACGTTATCTATTTTTTAGCTATTATAGCGAGAACTATCAACTATTGATCTGATCTCCCATAATGTTCCTTTAAACAGCGATAATCGTGTTATTTTTTAATAGTGGTTAAATGAAGCTATCCATTAGGCAACATATATATTAAAACATTATAAATATTACTATGTTTCAGAATAGGACGATATGGTTTTGAAATATTTAGAGGTTGCCGTCTGGTTGTGGATACAGGTCTGCATTATTTTAAGTAGGTATATAAATAATACATACTATTATGATTTTCGTTATTTCAACCACAATATCTTAAAGTATGCTATATCCTGAATTGAATTTGAATTTTAACTGCAGCCTGGCGGTTTTTTTTTTTTTTTTTTGCTCTTTGAACTATACCGTTTAATCAGGATTCACTGGATACACTGGGCATATACCATGGGTATATGGCGTAAAACAATTACATTTAGGACTCTCTCGATAACTAAGCATCCGAAGGCAACACGGGTCAGTCAGCATCTGCCCCCATCTACACCAGGGTCTTGATTAGGGTATGTTATAGGGTATATATCCGATTTGGCACGACAGCTCATTATGTCCTTGGATCGATGTGGCGAGTTTTTTATGTCCTCACTTTCGCATCCCACATACTGGGCTCTCTAAAATGATTGGTCTAACCTACAAATTTCCTACGAAAGACGTGTCTACGGAAACGAACCTTAAGCCTTAGCTACTACTACTACTACTACTACCAGAGGTCCGTTTTTGGCACAATTTGACCAATTTCCCCAAATTGGGCGGCGCACTAGAAAGAGGCTCCAGAGCTCACCAACTTAAAGAAAATCCCATAGCCTAGTTAAAGCTATTCATATCCTGCCATGTATTCATATCCTGTAACCTCGGACCTCCCAAATTGGGCTCTGCATTTTCCACAACCGGCCCTGACTACTATTACTACTATAACTGACCGATGGAAAGAACACACAGTAAACTGGGCCGTGTCTAAATTATCTTTAGACTAACCAATATTATAATTATGCTATTCATAACGTAAACAATTGTATTTCTTTAAGATGGAGTAGAGAGCAAGCAGTACAATATATGATTGATAATACACCTTTACCTCGTGCTGAAATAGAAACTGAGGTCAATAGATATATAACATGGCCAGGACAGGCATGTGCTTATAAAATAGGTGAAATGAAAATAAGAGAGCTGAGAGAAAGAGCTAGGACAGCACTAGGTAAAGATATAAGTTAAAATATGTCATACTTCAAATAACGTTCGGGGATTTTTGATTTAAAAAATAATTGCAATACCTATGTAGTATATCCCCAGGAACTGGCTTCAAGTCAATCATATTTGTCCCACAGGCTCTATAATTTGAAAGTGGAGAGGGCTCGCCCATTCTAAAATAAACGGGTCCCGGTTGGAGTGCTTTAGAATGTAGAATATTCTACCATTTTCCAAAAGCCAGGCATATTATACATGTATGCAATATTTCTGATTTTCGTGTGTGTGCATCAATCCTACATACTTATATTACATTGTCATATACATGTAATAGTGCTTAAGATTTAATGCAATAAAACATGTTGTTAGTTTCACGAACGATTTGATATGAAGTTTCACAAATTGTTTCACTTACTCGATTTTTTTAGTCCGACAGTTGAAACTCCCCTTGGGGCGAAATGTATTCTAGTCGTGTTTTCGTTTTCACTTTGATTTTTAGTAAAAAAAAATAATGTTTGATTTGTGGTGTTGAAATTATACATACAAATTGAGACAAATTGATATATACTTTTTCACTTGCAATTATCAACATTTAATTTTTTTTCGTGGGAGTGATCAGGGCTCTTTAACTTTAATAAAGTTTGTGATCTATCTGAATATTTTTTCAGGTAGTAAGTTTGATATCAAAGATTTCCATTCGGTCATACTCACCCATGGACCCGTTCCACTAAATCTCCTGGAAACTATTGTCAACGATTGGATAAAGGAAACGGTTAACTATCATTCCGCAGGAATTGTAGGTTGAGTTGCTATATGGATGACATTCGGAAATTATCTAATAAAATGAAAATTGTTTAGATAATAGTTGAATCGTTTATTGTTTTACTTTGAGTCTTCTTACTGCCTCTAATTTTTGTGAATACATCCGTGAAAGAACTTTACGGTTAGATCTATTTTATAAGGCCAACTTCAAGTTTGGTCAAAGGTCACGAGATGTAATCCCAACACTAAACCTAACCCCGGACCTAGCCCTAACGCTTACCTATATAGACTCTTGCCAACAATCACGTGCCCTAACCTTAATTACATCTCAGAGACCTTGACGAAAATTGAGGGTTTTTTTAAAGTCACATGTGATCGGTTGTAGTTCCGGAATGCAAGAATGATATTTAAGGAGATCGAATTAAGATACATTTCTATCGTACACTTAAATTCTAAGTAAGAAACTAAGTACAGTGTATTGGTTTAATTGTATATATAGCCTGTCTAGTCACCATTTACGTCTACTGTTCACACAATACCCAAAATTAGGCCTAAATTTTTAAATTTGATATGTGTGTACGCGTGGGTGGAGTGGGGTGTAAACAAAATGAAACGAATTGTACTTCAATAGTATTTGATTGTAAATCATGATTTTTACATGATAATAATATTTAAAACCGAATGTCGCAGGTCACCATGTTAATTCTTTACCCGGTTTTCACTTTTCCACAACTTGGAAGTACATCTAGCATACACGTAAATATGTAACTACACTCCAAAGCCTGCAGAAAATGTTAATTCTGGACAAGAAAGTCAACAGAGACCGCTATGCAAAGGATGGTTGCAGTACTGTGAATCACAAAGAACTACCTTACGGCTAGCCCCCGGATCCATTCACTTGATTTGATATTTGTTTATTTGGTGCAATGTCTATTTTCTGTCTTGTCCGCAGGTTTATCGTGTAGATTTGTGTTTTACGTGTAGTGTGGTCCTCCTGCACTTACTACTATAGACCGTTATACAAGACAGAACGATGGAAGCAGATGTGAATTAGGACGATGGCCGTAATGACTACAATCTATTTTGATATGTTATGTTCCTGTGTGCTGTATTGATTGATAGAATTATAGATGTAATAACTTTTAACGTGTGTTCCTGTATTGTTAAAATAAAGAAGTCAAATACACAGTCAGCGTTATCATTAGATCCTTTGATACTATGTTACAAGAGATTAACTATACGTACCGTACGCAGGGAGCATTAATTTTAACAACAGTACCAGATGTAATGTTTCCCTTAGTGTAAGTCTAGGTTTATGTATTATAGTTTCGAGATCAAATATCACATGTAAAGAATCTTTTTAGCAAAGCAAGCGAGTTTTCCGCCCCCCCCCCCCATCTCACACACACTTAGAATCTGATTTGTCAGTGATACAGTATTATTAGCTGTTATTTATTCTAAGAAATATGCGTAATATATTTACATACTCTCTTTCGGAACTCTCGTCCATCAATACCATTGGCATTACATATGATTCGTTATGAAGTCAAACATACAAAAAAAAATATCAATAAGCACAATAAAAATCAACAATAAATTTTATTATATCAATTCATCTATCTTAAGGAAGTATGTGCAAAATTAATCAAAAGACGCATATCTCTAGAAATAATCAATTTTGAATTCAGCCACTTTTATTCTTGATCCAGTTGTCGATTAACATCTCGAGAACACTCAATGGAACTGGTCCGTTTTCTAGAACAATGGAGTGAAACTCTCTAACATCAAAACTGGAACCTACACAAAAAATATAAAAACGTAAAAATCATGTTTTATCTATAAGCTACCAAACCACATCGCCAGTAAAATATGGTTATTTAGGGGTTTGAGAATATCACATAAAGTTTAAATATTCTTCAAAAAATAAATTCGTTAATGTTTTATTTCAATCAATACGAAACTGTTGCTATACAAACATCTGATATAACTGAGACGTGGTATTGATTGTTCTAAAAGATTAAGTAGACATTTTAGAATGAATGAATGGAATGGGGTTTAACGCCCTACAGTTCTGCACCGTAATATCTTAGAACACGTCTTACTAATAGCTTATAAAAACTTTCATGTGTATAAGTGATTGGACATGATTACTGAACTAGAATCAGCCTATAGAAGTGATTATTAAATGCATGGAATTTCCGCCTCCCTTCCGCCTAGGTGATACCTAGCTTAATGCAAGCAAACCATAAAGTAATAAAAGAAAATACGACTAATGCATACCCTTGTATATTACTTAGTTAATTAAAAGCACGTAGATTCATCAGCCGAGGATTATGCAGTCCTAATTCTTAACCCTTTCTAGAACATGTTCAATAACATCAGAATGTTTTACTGGAACTTATTTAGGATTGCCGTTAAAGTGTAATGGATACAACACTATAAATATAAGGTCCATGATCTCACTATAACTTACAATTCACCCACCGTTTGCATTTGTCTGCGATATAACTCTAGGTGGAAGTGGAAGTATTACCCCAGGAACGAGCTAACGAACGAACCGGGTAGACTATCTTAATTAAAACCAGCCAGTCAGACAGATAATAATTAGAGAGTGTATACCAACATATCGAGCTTACCAAATGCTTGTCGGGCCTTTTCTCTTAATTCCTTTATTTTCAGTTCACCTATTTTATAGGCACAAGCTTGTCCTGGCCATGTCATATATCTATCAACTTCATGTTCCAGATCGGTTCGGGAACTGGCGGTTCTCTCTAACATGTAATCTACGGCCTGATCACGTGTCCAACTGAAAAAAAATTAAATCGTGCACTTTTGGAGAGCCCAGATGTAACCCCCTTTTGTTTTAGTCTTTCTCTCCCTTACATCTTTTCTCGCTTAAAGCGTGGCGATTTGCGTATAATGGAGGGAAAGGGTTTGCATTTACATTTTCGGTCAGGTTTTGTATTCATGATTTTGAGGCTGGGGACGGGTTAGTGTCGATCAAAGACGAGAGAAATAAAATTAGTGCAAATGGCGAAATCATTGGTGTACCGTGGCCGGATGACTTGGGTTCTAACCACCATGATAATCATATTTAAATTCTAGAGATGGTTTTCATGAGGACAGCCTAAATGTTTAAAAATGGAAATATTTTATGAGTGTTGAGCTAATCCATTGATTTTCAACCAGTGTGCGAATTGTGCCGTGAGATCTGGCTAACACTAAGAAAATGTGAAAAACCAAGTGATCTCAAATGAGTATTCACTGGTGTCTACTGATAAGTTCATAGCTGTGTTTTTCTTTATTGAGTTTTAGTCATTCTATGTGTCTATGACTAGTCTCTATCTACGGTTGTATTCCGTCGGACTTACCATGTTTTTATTTTGCAAAATTCAAATATTTATTATATATATTTAGCCTGGTGTGCCGCAATTATTGCATGTGTTCCAAGGTATACCGTTGCCAAAAAAAGGTTGAGAACCACTGAGCTAATCATAAGTTTCAGGTCCATACAAAGTGATCCACAAAAATCACAGAAAACATAATTATTACTTACTTGAAATAATGTAACCCTGTATCAACCACCAGGCGACAGGCACGGAACATTTCAGAACCATAGCGACCCATTCTAGTAAATGAAAAATTGATAAAACTATGTTGGTAAAGTGTAAGTAAAAGATGGATATAGTTAAAACTTCGTAAATTAAGGCTTGGCGTTACATTTTATAATTACCATGTATCATAACTAAATGATAGGGGACTTACAATATATAATCATTATCATACAGTCCCAGTTCTTCTCCTAGATATTCGGCATATAAACCCCAACCCTGAAATAATATATAACAACCAATCATTAGTATAATCTGAAACTTAATATAATTAGAAGGAAAAAAAACATTATTGTATCATAATTTTATAGACAATACTATCACCTTTTCAGTTTTCCATGAAATGATTCAATATTGATTATAGTAATGTCTAAATATATTTGGTGAATACCCTTATCCTCTTTCATGTGTTCAAATTTCAAATTACACCAATTAAATTTGCAAAGGTTTACAAAATATGAGGAGTGTTATAAGACATTCTAGAAACGTGAAGTTGATTTACTCTCTGAAACACAAAATTGTCTAAATAATTCCGAATTTACCTCTAAATAAGCTGTGTAGAACGGGAATTTAAGTGGTGGTTGGTAATAATTAGAATCTTCCTGGAACTTCCGGTAGTTTGGTAATGATGCAGACAGGGCATATATACTCTATAAAATAAACATTTTATGGTATTTCAGTATTGATATAATTCAAATTAGGACAAATTCGTGATCGTCATCCACTTAACAAAAGAAGAGATGACCGGACTCCTTGAAAACAACTATTAAATACATACCAATCTTAAAACCATCTTTATCTCTGTACATGCATATATTGGTAGATTGATTACTATGGACATAATCTAATATATACATGACCAAGAATCTATTTAATTTGGAGACGACTAGTACAATAATATTAACTCTACCTGTAGATGATGACCTGGAACTGTTTCATGGAGAGCTAATGACATCATATCTATTGTTGCTCTGGAACAGATATATAACATTGTTAGTTACGGTAAGAAAGTCCACAATGTCCATGTATCGGAAAATGCATAGAATTCATTTGTTATCTAAGTTACAAACTGAGAACAAAATTAACGAAATGCACAGGAGTGCATAACCATAATTGGCACCGTATCTGAACGTCAATAATAATCACAGTAAAACCTACGTATCTTCTGGTCTTCTTAGATTGACATAAAAGACACCAGGTCTGGAACCATCGGCAGTACCAGATAAATATTCACCACCAGCTCCATCGTAAGGCATCATTTGTATACTGCACGTATAATAAAATTAAATGATATGAAATGGATTTTAACGTCTTTCTCACTGAGTCAACGTATAAAAAACAGTCATAATATGTTAGTTAAAGTTATACTTTGGGTACTTTAGGTTGGCATATAGAAGATAAACTATAAGGATATTAACCCGATATAAACCAAGAATGGGTACAATCCATCAACTTAGTGATCGACCAGAAACGAAAGGAATGTAATGTATCGTTAACACAATACTTCAGTCAATTTCAGACTATAAAATTCCATTAATTTTGTTTCTATGGTCACCTGTGCAATGCTAGGAAGGAGAAATTTACCGCCTACTCTTCATCGAATTCCAATTGCCAATGGGTCTTTTATCTACCTTCTGAAATATTACGATATGATCTTTTCGGTCAACGCCGGTATTGGAACCCTTGAACTTTCTAGTTGAGCGGAAAGGTCACGGGACCGACTAGCAGCTCATCGTGGTTTATGTTGAAGCAGTCGACCAGATATACTATAGCTTTGAGGATCTATCATTTGCAGCCAAAATATAACGCACAAGAATACACCTTGAATGGATGCTTGTACCGTAATACTTACGCTAATGGAAGATTTGGAATATCTTTGAATAACTGGTCTAGTTTGGGAAAAGCCTGATTGTAAATAATGTCTTCATATTTCCTCAGAAGAACTTCCTACAATACAATAAAATGTGTTGATTTACACACCTTGCCGTTCTTACAAGATTCCTTAAGTTCTTAAATATTTCTCTCACTCTACCCACAAATTGATAAATCTTCTTAGAACAAAATCTGATTTTTCTAATTTATCCACAATTCGAAAAATTCTGAAAATAATTGCTTAAATGATCCACTTTCGACAAATATGCTGAAATAGATTTCTTAATTTCTTAACTTACAGCAGAATGGATATGAAATTTGGGCTCATCTCGAATCATTTTAAAAAATTCCGGAATCGACCCACTAAAGCCAATAGCCTTCATTGTCTGAAAATGTAATAAGAAGGATTAAGTAGCAAACAAATGGGAGTTTTAAAAGTAGAATTATAACCAGATGTCCAATTCCTCCATATGAACCCGGTTTATCTTTACATCTTAGATCTATAAAGGGAGAAAAAATTCTTTTGGCTAAATTAAAGTCTTTACTTTCTTTACTAAATGGGTTTGGGTGGTTGAGTGGTCTAACGCGTGCGGTTGATACCATAAGATTTGTAATTGAGTCAGGTGAGATGGTTTCGACCCCAAGTTTGTACGTGATAAGAAATAAGATCGCTTGTCCAGCCCCGTGGGTTTTCTTCAGGTTGCTCTCACGGCTATATACATTGTACCTATAATTACTGGAATAAAACTGAACAATAGTTCGTCACGAATTGAATTAGTTTGTGTCGAGTGGACGTTAACCTTACTTACTTGATTCATACTCTTTCCAATTCGTTCAACTTCTTGTAGACCTTTATCATGAACTTGTTTTGGTGACATGTCTAAAGACAGATGCCATTTTAAACAAGCCTCATAATCCCCTTTACCATCTTGCCAACCATTTACGCCCCAAGTTGTTCTTGTATTAGGCATGTAGTCCTGTAAATAGTTTTATACCAGATAAATATAACAAAATGTTCTCTCATGTAGTCCTGTAAATAGTTTTATTTCAGATACATATAACAAAATGTTCGCTCATGTAATTCTGTAAATAAATGGTTTTATACACGAAAAATATAATAATAAGCTCAGAAAGGTTGTCGTCAGAGGGTTGTTGTGAGCCATAGTTTGATTATAGCTTTATTTTGACAAATTACACATACCTTTTGAATAAAAGATTTCATGTCCCTGTATGCTTCCATTATTCCTTCAATGGCTTTTTGGGCGCGCTGACGAATGCCTGGTCTGAAAGAAAACAACACACGATGTCAATTTATGTGGATAATGGAATATTTATTCTGGATATGACATATACCAAATAAAATTATTAGTTTCTACTCAATGGCATATGATAAATAGGGATTAGTAATTCTAAATAAAAAAAATACGTTGTGTAGTTAACTAAATTGACCAAACCTCATGGATTTGGGTACAAAAATGTGTCAATTTAAGTGAATTCACTGTGCGGATTTATTTTATCAAATATCGGACTATATCTGTCTCGATTATCCATTTTTTGATTTAATCATCAATGAGCCTTGAGCAGCAGATCGGATTTTCAATCCAGTAAATATCGCAGGCTAGCTATGACATCGAGAGATGATTATGGTTTGATAAGTTAATTAATGTCTAATTAATAAATTAGATAACATTTCAGGCCTCAAGAAAGACCTGCAATATGCAGATTTAGCTCTTGTATAATGTATGTTTAATATAATTAAGTACTGGACCATTCACTGCTCGTCACTTTCTGGAAACGATGGCGATATATCACATGGTTGTCTGCTTAGACTCCTTAGATCTATAGCAATAATTAGACTACACAAATACAAAAAGTCCATATTGCTGAAAGTCTTACTTGACATTGTCCGGTACCGAAGATTCATCAAGAAAAGTTGTAAAGGGAGTGTAATATATAGACTTGGTGACGTCATCAACAAGGCGTTCATCTATTTGACCTGGAACGGCGTTCTAGAAAATAAATATCTATTAATTAATGATAGAGCATTTGATACATCGGTGGTGGTAGCATGGCTTTTTGGCGAGACCAGCTTAGTGTTTTACTCTATAGTTCATATTTGTTTAGAATGTGATGTATATAATTTCTTTCGCTACTAATAAAGCTTATTTCTACATGTATATATACTTACCATTGAAACATTGTTATTCGTATTGCCTTGCTTAATAGCCTCTCTCATCAAGTCTTTATACTGTGAAAACTAAAAAAAAATAATATCATGAAATCATAAATTTAGTCTCTTCGACAAAGAATTTGCGCACAAAGAGGACGAGCACACGTGACTAGCTGACATGGTGTGAAAATGTAAAATACATGGAATTTAAAGTATACTGTTAGTGAATGTATTCGCTGTCGTGTAACACTTGTATGACCCTTAGTGAAATCAAATGAATGGAGGTTTAACGCACTACTTCGTCGGGCGGATGTGCCAAGCGGGCTAATAAAGATAAATTTTCTGAATTCATGTCAATATAAAAGATACGAACTTAGTGGATTTAAAGAATCGTGACATATACATTAATCCCACAGTCCTGTACAAAAGTACATAAAAAAATAGGAAGCTATATGAACTTCGCCATCTAAAAGTGATATCAAGTGTATTATAAGGTGAAGAACACCATCCCGCGTGACCATCTGATCTGTTCACGCGAATTGATATCACTTTGTTGTTTGTAATATCTGTTCAGTATAGTTTGTGTCTTGTCCGCTGGTTTGTCTTATCAGTGTTCTTTGCGTATAGAGTGAGCCTCCTGTAATTACTATTATAAAGGATCGGGTAGAATCTTGTAACCAATGACACCAACAGAATCGGCACCCACGTTAGTTAAATTAACAATATACTTTGGTAGCTATATGAACTGAAATGACAAGTTGTTACCTGTTTAGGTATTTTTTGAAGTCTTTCAATAAAGTTTTCAAAATCACCTCTTGAAACAAATGGAGTGGTATTAACAAAATGATCAGGATTGGCCGTTAATCCTTCCAGAAAGTTCACTGGGTTGAGGGTATTGTGACTGAAAATAGTCAAATAAAATTAATTAAGCCCATGATCGTCTAATTAAATAATAACGGGTTAATTTGAAGAATTGAATCAAGTCAAATTCGCAAAGTCACTTCTATTGCTATTTTAAAACTAAAGACCGTGTAAAGATAACCGCCTAATGTTCAACTAATATGGATATTCAAGTAATGGACTCCTCTCTCAAATACTTCATCATAAAAAATCATTTACTCACATATGCTGTATTTGTACTTTATTTCTTTACATTAGAAATCATAACTCACTCCTAAAATCTACAAGACCTTTAAATGCTATACAAATAAATACGAGAGTACTATATGGACCGAGAAACGGACCAAGGGGTCACCAAAGCCATCTTGGAATTGTGACGTAATATAAGCCCCTCCAATCAATGCGCAGTTGACCAAGAAACAACTATGCCAAGTGTCATGTCGGTTGTACTTGAATTGACAAAGCCTTAAGGCCTTTTACGAAGAGCGTTGCCCGTAAAAACAGCAACAACAAGATGTATAGCGCTTGGGGGACCATTTTCTGTTCCTTAAATTAACCAGATGGCGTGGAACATCTGGCCAAGTGATTTAGACCGAGCTTGTTATTCTCGATTCAGACTGTACTACAAACTGTTGGTTGAAGTATTCAGATGTTTCAATATTAGTGTCACAGACATACACTTTAGGAATCCAATTATGGTTGAATCCCTTTATATCATTTAATAAAAATATGTCATCTTCTGATAGCTTCCAGAATAATTTTGTATACTTACAGTCGCCATTTATATCCATCAACGTATGTTTGTAAACTATCTTTAAATATCAGATAATCAGCTAGTTGTTTTTGGTTGAAATCGTCGGTATCGATGGCATTTACTCTTTTAAGGAAACCTTCCACTTTATCCTGATTAACATAACAGATTAATAGTCACTGTATAGTTTAGCATGTTGTTATGTTGTATGTCTATTGCAATTATATCTTACTCTTTATGCGTATTGAAAAAGTGAAATGAAATAATACAAGATTCGTTAACACGTAACCCAAAAGTTTACAGAAATATATCGTTTGTATTTATAAAACGTAGAATGAAATAAAATACTCTTTACACGTATACAAAAATAGAATGAAATAATATTATATTCTTTAGTTACGCATACAAATGTACATTCTCTTTATATGCATATTATTATAAACGGTACAATGAATTATTACATTATGTATGCGCACTTAATTATTGTCATGCTATAGATTACGTATATAAATATAGTCTTCCCTATATGAATATCATTCATTTTCCACTAGATGCAGCATAACCAGAATTTAACTTACATTGCGTGGTTTAAAAAGATCAACACCGAACTGACGTAGTCGATCATTGCGTCTAAAATCCCCTGTAAGTGTGGCAAACTCTGGGGAATCATCTAATCTCCATTCCCAAAATTCATTTTCTATCGATATTAAGTCATCCACTGCACTGCCTTAAAATATAAAAAGATAAATTGCCAGACATCGAAAATACTTCCGCTAACAGCTTTATCGTCAAGGTTTTTTTTATTTAAAAGATAGGTTGCCAAGCAACAAAACATACGCCCACAGCAGCTAAATCGTCCGCGCAGTTGACAAGGATTGTCGCATATTCATTATTTTGTAGGTAATTAGGGGAATTTAATAGACAATTTCATACAGATGACATTATAATTTTCGTCGTTTGAGGGTTCACACGGTTCTAAAAACTAAAACAAGGGCCGTAACTCTGGAAGTAATCTACTGAAATTGTTGAAATTCCACAAGCTTTTTAGTTTTACTAATTCAAATAATGCATATAAATTTCATACAGATCGGATGATAACTTTTGTCGTTCGAACGTTCCCAAGGAACAACAAAGGGAAACAAAGGCCATACCTCACGGCGTAATTAACGGAAATTGCTGAAATTCAAAAGGCTTCTTCGTTTCAGTAATTTAAATGATGCATATCAATTTCAATCAGATCGAATGATAACTGTTGTCATTAGAGCGTTCACAAGATTCAAGAAAGTGAAACAAGGGCCATAACTCTAGATGTACTCAACTGAAATTGCTGAAATTCACTAGGCTTCTTTGTTTTACTAATTTGAATGATGCATATAAATTTCATACAGATCGGATAATAACTTTTGTTGTTAGAGCATTCACAAGGTACAACAAAGTGAAACAAGAGCCATAACTCACGGCGTAATTAACGGAAATTGCTGAAATTCAATAGGCTTCTTCGTTTCACTAATCTTAATGATGCATATCAATTTCAAACAGATCGAATGATAACTGTTGTCATAAGAGCGTTCACAAGATTCAACAAAGTGAAACAAGGGCAATAACTCTAGATGTAATTAACGGAAATTGCTGAAATTCAAAAGGCTTCTTCGTTTCACTAATTTAAATGATGCATATAAATTTCAAACAGATCGGATGATAACTGTTGTCATTAGAGCTTCACAAGATTCAACAAAGTGAAACAAGGGCCATAACTCTAGATGTAATAAACGGAAATTGCTGAATTTCAATAGGCTTCTTTGTTTTACTAATTTAAATGATATATATAAATTTCATACAGATCGGTTGATAACTTTTGTTGTTAGAGCGTTCACAAGGTGCAACAAAGTGAAACAAGGGCCATAACTCCAGCAGAAATTAACGGAAGTTATTGAAATTAAATAGGCTTTTTCATCTCACTAATGCAAACAACATATATCAATTTCAAAACAATCAGTAGATAAATGTAGTCTGTAGAGTGTTCACAAGAAATTGTGGACGACGGACGGACGGACGGACGGACCGACGGACGGACGGGGGCAACGGCAATATACGACCACATTTCCATGTCGGCGTATAAAAATAGTTTGATCGCCATTTTAATGTTTTAAAAAACACTATTTCCTTCACGACCAGGTAACAATTCCTGGCTGTTTTCAAAACATCAATCAGGGTCTACTGTTTATTTCAATACCCATAATAGCCTACAACATTCTTATCTTGCAGCTAAAGTGTAGGAAACTAATCGAAAGTCCTGTTGTTTGTGTATTATCTATCATAGATGCTTTCGTGCTTTAAATGAAATGAAATGAAATTAAATTGGGGTTTTACATCCTACTGTTCTGTTCCGACTGGGCTAATGAAGACGGGCATACCCCATTCGTTGGGCGCTGAGGGAAATTTTGCCCGGGCAGTGACACTATGACCTGCTCTTATATCGAATTTCAACTGCCAAGCGATCTTTTACGTGCATGCCGATGTGTACACGGTACCTCTGTTTTTCCTCCCATCCGAACGACTAGACAGCTGCCTTGTCGGGCCCTTCGTCCTGCACCAATGACAAAGGGAAACCACGTCGGAAATCCCGATGAACTTTCTCGCCAATGAAGGGATCGAACACGCGACCCCCAGGCTAGCGAGCCAGCGTCTTACCCACTCATCCACCATGGCTCCCTGTACATCTTTAACATATTATGTACCCCAATATACTGACAATATAATAAGTCTTACTGGGGCTTTTATGCTTTCGTAGCTATATAAACTGCGGTTGACATCTATAAGAGTGCAAGATATTTTAAGGTTAGAGTTACGAATTCTGGGATTATGTCTTGATAGCGTCAGTAAGAAGGGTCTTTCTCCATTACCTCAATACCAAAGAATACCGAATGCACAGGAGTAGTGACCTACTTGCGTAACTACTGCACTGCTGTAAAGGAGGCACTGTAAGGAAACGTTACACAGTTTACACCAAGAAATGCGATTTCTCGATTTTATATGTAGTGACCAATAACCTTTGTTGTTTGTTTCACTCACTGATATCAACGCCGTTATCGGTCCTCACTTACCTCGCTCATCCGCCATTATGTAAACGCTAGGTGTACGCTGTCAGTGGCCAATACTGATAACATACAGTCTATATTATAAGTCTCACCACTAATAGTCTATTCTTTACAGCAGTTATAAATTTACAAGTGACTAGCTCAACACTTGAGTGAGTTGCTTTTCAGCTTAAATTATAGTCATATATACAATACCAACGAATAGTATTCATGAACTGAAAATATTGCCTTGTATAACCTCAACACAGGAAGTAGATCTACGTATATTGTTAAACGATACCGAAACACCCATTAGTAGCTTGTTGTAATTCAATCACATGGCTATTGCCTTACTATATTAATGTTTCCCTATTTGACTTTAATTCTTCCTATAAAAGTTTACCCGAGAATCTATTTTGATGATTTTTAAAGACACCGAAACACCCATTAGTAACTTACTGTAATCCAATCGCATGGCTATTGTCCCGGTCGCCTTATAATGTTTCCCCATTTGACTTTAATTCTTCCTATAGAAGATTACCGGAGAATCCATTTTGATGATTTTTAAAGACATCATTGTGTATAAATTATACCAATAATCTCCGGAAATGATAGCATTCGATAACATTGTTAAAGTTTGATTCATTGACAATCAGTAATTATAAACTGTAAATAAAGTGTAGACCGTAGCGCCACTTCTAGGCAATATTTCCTTCATAGCACACTGTATATGGCGTATGTCAGTCTTAATTAGTCCAGTCGGAGTAGAACAGAAGGATGTGAGACCTCAATTTCTATTTACAAATCACATCTTCCAGAAGGATTGAACATACGCTGGCTCATATACCGCAATACGACAATCTCCATCTATCGTTTGACAGTACACTGTATCTGTTACATTTTTCAAAGGGAGCGATAAATATACTCTTCAAAAAAAGTTGGGGATATTGAAATGCAAATACCTACGCAGGTTGGGATATGATAAATAGTCATGGACAGTTGACATGCTTTGAGAGTATGTTCACAGATGAAGAACTTATTGCGCCAACAGAACCACTGAGCTGCATGTGCGACACGCAATAGCGCCATACACGTGGGAGGGGTTCATTGTCAAATTTGACACTTCAAGGAAGGGTTGATGAAAACTGCCGTTTGCTGGTTTATCCTATCCATGTTTGCTTTCCTATCGATTCTTGCATAAGATTTACTGTTTAGTGTATCTTTGCTTTAGTGTGTTACGTTTAATTTGTTCGTCGACGTCAACGTCAACCGACAACACTGTAGGAATTGACCTTGGCACTGCAAGAGGATTAGGTCAGATTGCCCCAAATCGTGATTGGACGGTCGATTAGGAGCATGCCACGACGAATTGTCGAATGTCTGATGATTGGTGGAGCAATTCCTCATTATTAAGACAAAAATCAAAAATGTCCATTTTCCCTTTTGATAGTGTATCTCTTTGCGAGTGAAATGAGGCCGTCAGATAAGCCGCCCAGATGAACTGTTTATGTTCATGGGTAGGCAATTGACCTGTTATTAACATACACTGGTTACTATATTCATAATAACACAACTTTATGGATTTGCTACTTCTTAGTTTATTACATGCAACGTTTCAATACTCTTACAGGTATCTTTATCAAGCAATGATCAATAATGAATAATAAGCTACATTTATAGTACATCCATGAGTAAAAACAATATAACAATCAAAACATAACATTAATTAAGATTTATAACAACAACTATTTCCCTTTGAATATGATTTCACTATTTCTATTAAATATACAGATTAAATAGGGGACTGAAGCCACCAACTAATTAAAATATAATCCTGCAATCAATACGCCCTTATCTACACAATTAACTAGGTTAATGTCTTTAATCTTATCTTCTAACTAATTCGGTAACCTTAAGATAATAATTAGGTTGATTATTGATCATTGCTTGATAAAGATACCTGTAAGAGTATTGAAACGTTGCATGTAATAAACTAAGAAGTAGTAAATCCATAAATTTGTGTTATTATGAATATTGTACCTCTACTTCTAAATGTCATTCAAGGAACATACACTGGTTACCTCTAATAAAAACAGCAGAGCATTTCCGCAGTTTTGTATTGTTTCTGAATATCCCCTACTTTTTTTGAAGAGTATATAATGTGCTGTCAGTTAAAGATACATTATGGGAGATTAGATAACGAGTTGGCAGTTCTCACTATAATAGTTAAAAACTAGATAATGTAAAGGGAATTTGCTGAAAATTTCAGTCAAATTGATCCACTCTACTGAGAATTTAGCGATTGAATTTTTAGTCTAGCCTCGATCATTATTACTGAAGTCAGTACGATATAATACATAGTCTCGATTATCCATTTAATCATTAAATCGTGAAGGAAAGTTATGCAGTAATCGAATCCTAATCCACTACAGATCACAGGCTAGCAAGTTGGTTATGGTCTGGATAAGTTATTTAATGTCTAATTAATAATTTAGATAACATTTCAGGCATAAAGAAAGACCTGCAATAGACAGATTTAGCTCTTGCATTATGTATGTTTAAGCACCCATTACGCAAGAGCCAAATCTGCCTATTGCATGTCTTTCTTTATGGTCATGGGGGCGCAATATTATAATTATAGTTCATATTACACGAAACTCCACACCCACGTATTCCGAAAGAAAACTCAAATTGAATCCTCATAGATGAAAAGACAATTGTGATTGTAATATTTCAATATTTCTTAAATTGCTAGAATAAATCCTATAATTATAATGAATGTTATAACTGTGGAAATATTGACACCAACTCACATACTGAAATACATGCTTTAAGAATATTATCTTACCTAGTATTTTGGGTAATAAACCTGACAGAAAAACTAACAATAAATTGACATGAAACATCTAGCTGTCTACAGTTTTCTCCTGAAACTAAAAAAAAGAAACAAATATCAATACACCCGATCGAAGTGGAATTGTAATTGTGCATATTTAACTGTCGTGAAACAATACTTGAATTTTCTAAGCTCACTGGTATATTTGTGTTGCTTATTAGAAATAACACCAAAAATTGACATTGCAGATAAACATTTTAATCTTTTAGTAACATTTAGTTACTTTGGTTTTACTTGTCGTATATAGATAACCTACATTCATTGCTAATAAAACTGATATAATAGTTGCAGTTTTCGATTATTACAAATAGTTTAAACAGTTAAAGGCAATGTAAATAGTGATGCAAATAAAACAAATCTAAACATCACATTGTTGAAATAATGATTTCATGTCATCAGTTCCCATTTGAGCCATAAAGGGGGGGGGGGGACAACATATAACTTATATTGTCGGTAAAAAAATTCAGAGAAACACATGGGTCTATATTAACGGGTACGTCGGTGTAATCTGAGTGATATAGTACGTTTAAACACAAGTCATCATAACGAATATTTTTCCATTTGAATTGTCTTCGATTTCTATTCTACAAAACACGACAACCTGCAAACGACAGACAAGATCAAATGAAAAATTGTCATAGAATAGATACCCTCCGAATCAAATTAGTCTAATCATCAATTTGTTTAATGTTGATTTATTGTTATACTTTTAAAACTATAAAATGTAAATTTATTTATTTATTTATTTATTTATTTATTTTTCCAAGAGGCATATCAAACATGACAATATAGATGATAATATGAAGTTACAAGATAATAAGATGAGAAAGTTTTGATGAGAGAAAAAGTAATGATGTCATGGATGACCAGCCCCTTGAGGATAACCCATAAAAACCTGCTTAAAATAAAACTAGGTTTATTTCCAATGGGGTCCTTGGATGAGGATCAGTTTATGTCATCATGGAGGGGCAGATTCATTTATGAAAGATGAAAGATGGAATATGACAATAAATAGTGAAATGTGTGTTTCCCATAAGGGCTGTGAAGTACAAAGAAGTATGAAAGACATCGGAGTATACATACATAAACTAAAACATTTGTATTTGTTTTGCTAGCAAGTGTTGTTTAACATTTTTCTTAAAAGTACCAATGTTACCTATTGATTTAAGTTGGTTTGGAAGTTCATTCCAGGCCTGAATACTTGAATAGTAGAAAGTTGAGTATTGGGTATTATTTTGCATTTTGGTACAACATAATTATAAATGCTTGATCTAGTACTATGTAGATGAGCATCCCCGACTAAGCGAAAATTTGCTTTCATGTACACCGGAGACCAATTATGAAAGATTTTGTGAACACGGTTCAATTTCAGTTGTTTGACTCTATTATCAAGATTTAAACTATTTAAATCTTTGTACAAATTTTGGGTAATTGAATCTCTGGGACCTAAGCCGTATATGAATCGGATAACTTTGTTGTGCATAATTTGTAGTTTGGTCTTCAGCTTCTTGTTTAAGCCTGAGAACCAAGCTGAACATGCATAATCTAAGTAGCATTGTATAACATAACAAATTCTAACCAAGTTTCGCTTTCGAAATGTGCGATCCCTAAATTGGGATTTCGCTAGGGCTGTTCTTTATGCCCATGTGGATAATCTGGCCATTTGTTCAAATAATTCCATAGATTTCATGTGTTTGAACGTAAGCGAAGACAAAAAGTCCCTACTGGATATCTTGAATAATCCTTGTGAAGCAAAAAAATAAATCTAGCCTGAAGAATGCTCATTAGTATATGTAGGCAGAAAATGAGATACTATGTAAGTTTTTTGAACAGTGATAATACACACCATTTTTTACAGATTACTTATAAATATCACGGTGTGATAGATGAATTATCTCTGACTTCCACGTTGGGTATAAAACTTCAGTGATCAATTAACTCTGGAACACTGACTGTGTTTGTATAACTATGTTTATATATGAAATACAGCATCTATGATATTACATTATGAGTTATTATAATATCTACAGTCTGAGTTTAACACGCCTAGAACTCAGATCTAACGGCTGAAACACTACATATTGTCTATATCCCGGCCTCGAACTAGAGGCTGAGAGTATGCCCTTCTAAGAACCACGATGTCTTCACTCTACCTTGGAGCCAGAGGCTTTGAATTAGTCATTTTAAGAACCCTACATGGTGTCTGTATCCCGGCCTCTTAGCAGCGGAGGCTGTGGGAATGTCCTTCTGAGAATACTAAATGGTGTCTGATTCCTGGCCTCTAAGCTAAGGAGGCTGTACAAAACGTCCCTCTGGGAACGATAATGATGTCTGAATGATATCTGATTCCTGACCTCTCATGATGCCTGAATCCCGGCCTCTCAGCCGAGGCAGCTAAAGGTCCATATTGGACCTCTCTATGTCTAATGGATGCTGGAAGTGAAATTTAACTCCACTCTTTCTATATATTAGGGCGGGGCAATTACCATTTCTGGGTAAGTGTTTCGTATGGACACCGTTTTACGTCAACGTTATTCTATTTTATTGGGCTAATCCGTGCCTGGACCATAGTTAGTCTATGAAAGTAGTAGAATAATGCGAGGTACTTCATTAGCCTAGTTTTTGTCACACATCATGTAGATAACGAATTTCTATATTAAACAAACCATCAGTTTTAAACAAACCTCTACGGTATTATAACGGTAAATAAAGGCTTCTAACACATCTTTTTCTTTAAAATTGTCTTTTATAGTTTTAGGTTTAGTCTTGTAATCTCGTATTATAGTTGACATATTATTGTACTTTCCAGAGGCTACACTATAAAGTGAAAGTTTCAGATCTTTTTACAATTGTTAAGGAACATGAAATAATCTCATATATTTTATATTGTTAGAGGTTTCCTGTATTTGGAGGGATGCGATAACTTCACTGTTATATTATTGATTTTTCAACATATCATCCGTGTCAATGTAACATGAATACTAAAGTATTAGTCACGTTATTTAAGCAAAACTGCTCTTTATCAGATTAACTAAAGATAAGTCATGTTTTATTCATATACTACGTATTCTGGTCGTCTGCCACTTGCATGTGCAGCCTAATTGTCATTGTCTAATCTCAAAAACAATGCTAAATAACACAAAACAGAATTTGTTTTAAGTCAATTATTGGGCGTATCTGGTAAGATGAGAATGGGAATGACCCCCCCCCCCCGCCACCCACCAATACAACACTTAATACACCACAACGATATTTACTTTCCTCTGCAAACTCGGTAAACGTCTGTCAAATTTGACTTGCTAACTGGCCTATAACATGTTCTAGCGAAAAGAAAACAGAGACAGGGCATTTTGCCTATTCCCTGATCTCCCAATCATTTATATTGAAAAAAATATCCCCCCCCCCCATTAAAACGAAAAAAAAACAACCCAAAAATGCCTTTTCATGCGGAATAAGTAGATATGTAGGTAATGAATTGCGATGGATTCATACTTGTCATTTCGATGTACCCCTCATGGGTCTATTATGTAGGTAATATGTAGTCTAACACTATGTATATTGCTTTCTTTTAACTGAAATTCGTTTCCAAAATTACATTTTGTCCAAATTCAGACAAGGGTTCAGACATCCTGTGTAGACGATAAAAAGAGCCAGCTCCTCTTATAACGTTGGGTAAAACCTTTTGATGGACCCCCTTTTAATTTTGTCGAATTAATGCCAGGCGTAACTTTGGTTTATGTTTTCTTAATTACATCTTAAAATGATAAAATCATCAGTTTAGCGTGGTTTAAGTCGTAAAAAATTAGATATTGTCCGAAAAATGCAATGGCTTTAAACGTACATTATTATCCAAGAGCTAAATCTGCCTATTGCGGGTCTTTCTTTAGGCCTGAAATGTTATCTAAATTATTAATTAGACTGTGATATTTACTGGATTAGAATCCGATCTGCTGCTCTACGCTCATTCGTGATTAAATCAAGAAATGGATAATCGAGACTATGTATTATATCGTACCAAAATTCAATCGCTAAATTCTCAGTACAATGGATCAATTCGACTGAAATTGTCAGCAAATTCCCTTTACATTATCTATTTTTTATAGCTATTATAGTGAGAACTGCCAACTCTCTATCTAATCTCCCATAATGTATTTTTAAGTAATGAAACCAGCACATTTTAGTGAAGAAAGATATACTGATGACGGATTTCATATCGTGAACAAATATTGTTTTACATTTGTTTAGGTAAAAGAAATTCAAATCAATTCCGGTTATGGCGTATTATGGAAGTATCTATATTGTTTTTATTCACATTCTATTGAACATGAATTCAGCCGTAAACCAGTTTTTAACGCAATAATAAGAAAATGTCTATAAATCTTTCATAAGTCATCCATTACTGCTTGCTTTAATAAATAAAATATTTGACAGTGTTCTTGAACAAAATCATCGCCGTGTAGATATTACCAGACATTCGCCACGAGATCTGACGGAAGATATTAATTTGCCGTTAGTCATTATTAGCGCGATGCGTTCTACGCTTAATAGCTCTTCTGCTACTAGAAATAGACCACATTCATGAAAACTTGCTGAAACACCCAGTAACGCGCGGTTGTCCTTGGTGCCTTTAGCGCATACTTGACAATCAGTGGGTACCGAAAATAGCACACAGTCCAAAACACGTTCTGTCCACTACGTCATGTTGAAATTTCTATATTTAGTTTTGTATAAACTAATCATTGTATAGGTTACCGCTTAAGATCTTTAGAAGTCATACTCACCCTCTCCTCATATGAGATTTATTTCAAAGTAACCCGTAAAGTTAAATTTTTTCTGTCGAAATAAAACAAAACGTCCAGATTCCAAACTTGTATTTTCAAGTTTAAAACACATTTCTAACTTCTAGGCCTATAGGGTTTCAAAATTACAACAGTCATTGTAGTGTTTATACCAGTAATCTTTGTCGTGGGGTTTTATGTTGGGATTATTTGGCGGAGGAGGGGGGTGTGAATGGTCGAATGGTTAGCAAGTGCGCGCTGTATCATATATGTCTGTCATTGAGTCAACTGTCGTGGTTTCAATCCCCGGTTGTACGTGACAAGGAGTAGTGTCGCCTGTTCAACCTCGTGGGGTTTCTCCAGGTCCAACGGTTTCCTCCCACTGCTAAATACCCCTACGCGCAAGCGAATTATTGAAATAAAATTGAACCATATATTAGTCCCGAAATGACCTAGTATGTGTCGAGTGGACGTTAAACCCCATTTCTCTCCCCACCCCTCACAATTTTCGTGACCCCTTGTTCATCTTGCTCCATGGTAAATTCAGCACTGGGAATAATTCTGCACCCAGTCCCAACTAATCAATAAAAAAAAAGATTCAAATGCGCATTAAAAGAAATGTCAAGATTACCGGAATAAAAAGAAAATATGTCCCATTTGAAAAGTTCAAAAACGAAATATTTGTTTATAAATTTCTGAAATGGATTATATCGACAAGATCAATAAAACAGTGAGAAATGCCACGTGTGAATGTCTTATCTACAGCAACTTATCAGTTTATCTGTTATATATTATATAGTGTGGTGGAAACATTGGTGGATTTTTGTTGGGGAGGCCGGGGGGGGGGGGGGTGTACTCCCGCCAAATATACCACACAAATATACCTTTTTTCACCATCTGAAAATATGACTGAAACGAAGTTATGTTATTTACTTTATCCCTGAAGAAGTATTCATTGTCGATCGAGTATCTATTTAATGCTAGATGTCCACTGGTATCAATCGAATGAAATTCGGCTTAAATCTAAAGATATGCCATTCATTCCACTGATATTTAGTTTATGAGCTATTTAACTAGGCGTTTTCTGATCGGACTCCAACATCCACAACGACGAATGGCATATTGCATAACGGTTTTCATTCTAAATGTGCCCAAACTAAAAGAAAAAGTTTAGAAACGTGAAAATTAAACTCCAAGCATCTTGATTGTTTCACCAAACTGTGCACATAAGATGTCAAAAGAAGCAGAAAAATGTTTATGCGTATGTGAATAGGTTGATGTAAAATGGGGTTCGTACAGTTGCAAATGGCGATATTAACTGACGGTTTGATGACAGTTTGATCACAGTGGAATAATAAACATACGCACAAGAAAATAAGCAAGAAAGCAAATCTCACTTCGCTTTACACAACAGTGACATTTTCAATATCCATTGCAATATAACACGGCATCAATACCAAATATCAGCATAAATGTATTTAAATACACACAAAACCTAGAACTTGATTCAAACAATTGTAATTACAAGAAAACATGAGCAATGTTAACAAAATTTTTTAACAAAATTCTCGCTTCTCTCAACAATCCCTTATTATTGGCGAAAACAAGAATAATTTGCCATCGCAACTTCAGATGTTTTTAAATTCAAACACATGCATAAAACGTACCCAAAACAACAAGCCAGTCTCAACACCAATGTTTAAGCAATATCAGCGTAAAAAAGTATCACGACATCTAAAGTGCCGATGATGACATTCAGATGAGTGTTAGCCCCTTCACTGACAAGATTCGCCCAAATAACAATCCACAATGCAATATTTTAGTAGGTGTTATTACACTCAAAGTGAAGTAATTAATTTTGACTTTGAAAAGCATTAAAATAATATGAAACAAACAAGAAAAGCAAAAATGGTGACAAACCTCTCAATATATAAGGTAAATCCAAATTAAACCGAACCGAACCCTACAGACTGTAGTCTCTTAAATAGATGTTCTCGTTTATGTTCCTTATCAATCATTAAGCTATTCACTGAGCTAATTGCTGCCTTCAGTTACCGTACTTGAATGAAAGAAATATCGAGACGAACTTTACAGTCAACTGCTTGCTGATTGTGTTTTCTGTCAATTCTCTGTAACGTGCTGGGTTATTTCCCTGGGGATAAGTCGGCTCAAGTCAGCCAATTCTATCAGACATTTGTTTACTTATCGAAGAATTGGAGATGAAAGGAATTCGTTTAACGACCCCGGATCTCTTTTTAAGATATTTCTGACAGTTGCATTTAGTCTAGGACTTTTGAAATCTTTATTGTAGTATCCACATTACACCGCCATCCAGATCAGCTTGATTTGTTATACTTAAACATACATAATGTGGTCCATTTTCTTCTTTATTTGGATTTAACCTGTTTGTATTGATTGTCGCTTATTTGTTTGAATTTTGAGTTAAATGGGTTTTTTTTTTAATTCAAGGCATATTATTCAAGAGCTAAATCTGCCTTTGCCGGTCTTTTTCTGGCTTCAAATGTTATATTAATTATTATTTAGACATGTTTTCACTTGAGAAGCCCATTATCAATTCTCTAGATCATCGGAGGTCGAGATATTGAATGGATTAGAACCTTTTATACTTTTAACAATCTGTTGTCATCAGTATTTTGTTGGAAATATTATTTGCGAAAATGATTTTCAATTCAAATATTTAGAACTATTACCACATAGATTTTTTCTCAATGAAACTCATCCAACTTATTTTTTACTCGCTTATAACTGTTATAAACAGAACTGCCAACTAATTAGCATTAAAATACAAATGTGACGTCATCCTTTGATGTTGGCGTACCATTATTTCCAATAATGTACGGGCAACTTGCAAATCGTACATTATCTATACTAGATGAAATATTGGACTCGCGTGACGTATTTCATTGAAAAGCACGTGCGGGATACTGTCTGTATTTTAAGTTGTTTAATGGTCTCGAGCTAAAGACATTGCGTAATATATTAAACAACACTCGGCTGACGCCTCGTGAAGTATCAATATATTACTTAATGTCTCCCTCTCGACCATTAAACCATTCAGACAGGATCTATTTACAGCGGGCAGTAGATAAACCTGTTAACACACACAATCTGGAACGAAGTAATGGCGCGAAAGTGGAATTACGAAGTCGTTTGATTACTTCTATTTATCATGATATTCTGGCCCTGGACATGGGGGTAATGACTGAATTGCTGCCAGGGTCCCCAAAATTAGTTATGTCTTTATTTATTATGTTGTGTATGTGTGTGCCAAATACCATACTGACATACACATTTCATTTGTGTGTGTTACCAGAATATGCCAATAATTTTGATATTTCTATAGTTTGTTTAGCTATATACAAAGAGGGAGTCTACCAATGAGCAACAAGTTCTGACATTAATTTCGGAGTTATTCTCCCAATTTTTATAATACCTTGACAACTTACAGTATTAGGGAGAGTGGTTTTACATAGGCTAATTCTGTTCTAATATCCCATTTAGATATATGAATAAAAATATTGCTTAAAAAAACAAAAAAATTCACAGTGTCCCGAATGTATCATCCGCACTGTTGGGGATCATTAGTATGATGATTGAAAGATTGGAATGGAGTAGTATTTAATGCCAACACAATACTTCCGTTAGTTTGAGAGTGACCTGTGGTAACTTTTGATTCTACTGTTACATGCACGTAAAAATATTTACACACGCGTTTCTTTGTCTTACGGCTAGTTACAATTTCGCGATCAGCCCTACAAGTGAAGACCGGGCTGGGAAAAACATTCTGAATGCCTTTCTCAACCCACGGTGCCGTCAACAGGCCTATTGTACATGTAAATAAGGTTAGGGCTCGTGATTGTTGACGAGATTGTTGGTTAGGGTTAGGGTAAAGTATCTCCTTCCGTGTTGCTCATCAGAGCGTTTAGTGATCAATATTGCTTTTAACGGGATTAAACGCCGATGCTATATTGTTTGATAAATATAAATCAATATAGATTTGTATGCTTCGAACTTAAAGCTCCAATATACCAGAATATACCAGAATAAAGATTAAATATATTATTCAAGACTACAAACAGGCAAATGCAATTGGATTAAAAGGAGAGAATGGTCAAAAACGTTATCAGATCAATCAATTTGAAATTTACATTGAATTCTATTGATTTAAAGCCGCCATTGTTCACACGAGTTGGTGTAAAACTGAGAAACTGATCGCGTAACTAGAACGTCGAAGGCGTCTGTGGTCTTTGACTTGCGTAGTAAAGTAAAGCCCCCGCCCCCACCCTACCTTGAAAATCTAGGCAAAGCCTACCGCCCCCCCCCCACACACAGACATATCCCTTTCCAACATATAATACTATTTCGAAATATCATTACTTAGTTAACTTTTTGTCCCATCGTTACTCTGCCAGCATAAAGTAAATAGTTGTCTTATTTGTTTTTAACCAGGCCGTTAAAATATCTCAATATCTGAGATGGCGAGAACAATTTGTCACTTTGAAATTTTGACCCCTGAACGCATAACGTATGTCATCGGCATGTAACAGTCATCTGTGAATAATCTCTCCGCTATATAAACTGCAAAAATAGCCTTTGATAAATTTGACAGAGTTCTGAGATAACGCAGACAGCATGTTTCTTAACGTGTTACTTGTAAGTTTAACTGTGATTCTAACAGATGCAGCTATTAAGGACGATATTTTGAATTTATATCGTCATAAATTTAATGGGGATGTAAGTATTTATTACATATTAAAGCGTTGATTGTTATTCCTTTGTGACGAGTGTTGGGTGGTTTTTCTTAATGAAACACCATATTACATACAATAAATGGTGAGCTTGTAGTTTTAACTAGTGAATACAGCTAGCACTGTATAATCTCAATAATGACTTACATTCTAGTTCAAATAATCCCGAAAATATCTGAGATAAAATCCGCTATTAGAAGTAGGTTTTGTTTGTCTTAAAATACAAATCAATAAACAAACAGAAAAGTTAAAAAAAGAACATTTGCATATTGGGTAATTGTCCTGCCCCTGCGGTTGGACTTAGATGTAGGGGTGTAGTTCAATGAAAATTGAACATCAACAAATTTGGACACTTTCTTGTGGTCGACAATTTAACCAAAAACCGAAATAAATAAACAAGTGAGCAACGCGATATTCGCTTACCCACTCGGAACTAAAATATACACGTGTAGAGCTTTAAACAGAACACTATGTGGAATACGAATATAAATCAATATTGTTCACTAAATCATACAACAGGGATAAAAACAATTCAAATGTGTGCAAAAAAAACAACTTCCAATTCTGATTTGAGTTCTGTCATTTTCTTGAATGTCAATTTCCCAAATGCAAATCACACTTATTATTTACAGGCTTAGCCATATGAGATTAGAATTCATTTCTGATTTAAACCGACTCGGCGGGGAATAAATAGTTGCGTGACTGGAAATAAGATTATTAACTCGACGGATTCGCTTTCAAACAAAGATAATCAGATAAGAAATGAGCTTACTGTGTTCACCAGACGACTTCTGTGGAATAATTGCACGAATCAATATTTTGTTGCCAGAAAATTAGCTTTTCTCTTTTTTCTTGTCCGTGAAATCCAGTAGCTTCATTTACCATTGTCAAAAGTTTTATATGCAATTTGAATAATATGAGATTGTTACTACCAGAAGATTTCCGCTTAATATTGTATTTTGTAATAATGGTTACCATTTATTCGAAATAAAATGAATTTTAAACGTATTTCCAGATTGTTAGAAGATACTTGAATTGGTCGAATAATAAGAGAGTTTATTTCTTTTTAGTTTTGCATTTACAAGGGATATTTTTTCCAAATGTAGTGGCATCAAATTGTTTTTGATTTTTAAATTCTAAATATGCTATTATTCACCATCATGAAAGGGGCAGACAATTCATTACTAGTATTTATTATCATCACAAGAACACACACATGTCCTATTTCAGGGAACTTACTATGGACCAGCTGATACCGGTACGTGTCAGTATAACCCACCAAGTCGTCCACCAGCAGCACTTCATCCTACCATAAAACATTTTGTAGCTCTTAATAAACCACAGTTCCTAGGTTCCTATTCTTGTGGCATGTGTTTTAAGGTAAATATGTCTTTGTAAACGCCTCTTGTTCTTAAATTAGAAAAAACAAAATTTGGAGAGTAAAAAGCAAGTTGGAGTAAGGCGATGGCTCAATCGCCAGGAGATCCCTTTGTAGTGTTGGCCGAGAAAATTCCTCGGGATTTCCTACTTTTGACGTGCAGGTAAAATAAGTATTGACAGCTGGAATTCGATGGTGAACAGACGGGAACGTTTACATTAACAACAAAATCCACTGCATGGCATATGAACGTCTTCATTATCCCGGTTTGTGCAGCAAAGTAGAACGTTAAACCCCATTTCATTTATAAACAAAATATAAAGGTTATAAGAATTGAACAGTTTCCTTGAAGCATTGAGAGATCATTATCAGTGCTATGACAGTTATTGTGGCGTGATGTTTCTGATTGGATTGAAGCACATGTCCGGTTCCTTGGTCAACTCTGGTGTAGGTAAATACATAAACTTTGTGAGACACGAGTCCATACGCTGTTATAACCTAGTACAGAAGCCTTGAGATTTCAATTCACAATTTATCTGCTATAAGCACTACAATTGTGACAAACTGCATTTTTTACCATAACCGTTTGAATGGCATATTATGGTTGATCAGTCGACTAGTGTGGCAATGGTACGAGGCCTGGCTGAAAAGTTCTAAGCCTAAAAAGGGTAGATAAGTTGGGTTGCAACAAACCTTTGTCACCAACAAGTACAATCATAGACATAAGAACTACAACTGTTATTATTGTCTTTGTACCAGACCATCTTGTGAATCTACCCATTGAAATCACGCAGAAATGAACAAAACTGGCTATAGTGCAGTCATCAAGTACCTGCAGCTCAAAGGACTAACCCCAACACAGATACATACTAACATGGTCACCACTGTATGGGATGATGCCCCTTCCTTTTCCACAGTAAAGAAGTGACCTATATGGTCACCACTGTATGGGATGACGCCTCTTCCTTTTCCACAGTAAAGAAGTGGGCTGTGGAATCTAAGCGGGACAGAGAGAGCCTTGGCTATAACCTGCGTCCTGGAAGGCCATCAACAGCAACCATTCACGAAAAAATTACCCGGGTGAATGACACGGTGATGGCTGATCGACGATTGACCACTCGACATATTCCCAACGTTGTAGGCATATCTCGTGGGAGGGTTAAGCACATTATCGCCAACGAGTTAGGAATGATACAAGTTTCTGCAAGATAGGTGCCAAAAGTCTTGATCAGAAACGTGTCAGATTTCTGACGTCCCGTGACAATCTGCGACGTTTTGAAGCAGAGCCTGATAATGTTTTGGCCCGATTTGTTTCCAGAAATGAAAGAAGTACTGGCCGGTCGTTATTTTCCTAGCTTTCAACGATTTATTTTTTTAGCGTGGCCGTAGAAAATTCCCCCCTGACTGCATCCAGGCCTTGCAACATCGTCGGCTACAGTGTGTACACCTCGAAGGGGACTATGTAGAAAAATAAATGGAAACCATCGACTTGGATAGACTTAGAACTTTTCAGTCAGCCCTCTTATGGTCGCTACAAGAAGTACGAAATAAAACGCGAGATGTTGTTTCGACTATTTTAATTAGCCGACAAGTGAATCCAATAGACCAACGAAAACATAATTGATATCAAGCGTGGCAATGATTAGTGAGCTGATAATGCTCGTTACCGTTGCTTTAGAATATGATTTTGAATGTTATAAGAACCGATTATTTATTTATCCATTCACAAAGTGACTCTTTGACATTAGAAAGAAAATAACCCCAATAGGTCAAGGGAATCAGATATAACTGGGATCTCAAGAGTACTCATATCATGCATTTCAATAAGTTGGAATAAGGCGGGTGATTATAAGTCTCTACAGAGATAATATTATTCTATATTATTTAGACGTTTCGTCTTGTTCCATTATATACGTGATAATCGATATTAGAACACGAATGGTAAAAATAAGTTTAAATATGGTATTGTCGTTATTCCAAGACTAATCATCGACATAATGAAACCTAATGGAACTCAGTCATTTTATCGTTTCTGATTTTAATAATAGATAGAAGTTCGTAAAATAACTTAAATTTTTTACCTGGTAATATAAGTCAATTTTTGTTATGCTTTGGTATTATTTACAATGATGTTGTATTAATTATTTTGATTAGTCGATCAATACGTTTGTAAGTTAAAATTTAATGCATCACCGAGAGACTTTTCATGATGACAATGGCGCGAATGTAAACAGTATAACAATTTGTGAACAAGAATACACACGTGTGAAAAACGAGCTACAACCCCAAATGAGAATATATCCCACATTATGTAGACGACATTGGAGTGGCATCAACAGTTTCCTTTAAAATCAAATTATTTTATTTTCACAAATCTTTCTAGGTTCATGCAGAGGGACAGGGGTTAGGTAGTAATCCTATTAATGGAGATTTTGTTGCATTTGCTAATGATCTGTGTCCAGAATGTGTTGCAGGTAAACATTATCTAATTAATATTAATACTGTATCACATATTTACCATCGATTGGGTGGGTTTAATGGCAAGTTCATATTACATGTACTCGTCCTTGGCTATCAGGAATACTACTATCTCCCCAATGATTTCATGAATTTATTGACCGCTAACAATATTGTTTTGAATAGTCCAACAAACTTAATCTATGGGGTTGGCCATCTTGATTTGTACCTACGTTCAGTCAAAGTCATCTATAGTCCGTGACGTAATTTTCAGGGCTGACTTCCCTAATTCAGCTCTGTTTACTTCATGAATATTTACAATATATAAACAAACTTCGTGAAACCGGGGTACACAATTAGGTCTGTTAGTCCGTCCGCCACTGAAGCATTAATATAATATTGAATGTCAAATGCCAGTTCCTTACCGTCCCTGAGAGGCACATGCAAACTACAAGATTATTAAAATTGGATATCTAATCAGCTCATCGCTGAAAACGGGCTCCGTGGATGAGTTTCCTATTATTAGACCAAAACTATGTACAGTAGTTGATAGCCCCTATTTGTAATGCGAGAACTGCGTACAGTAAGCAGTGCAAAAAAGGCCAGAAGATTAATCACATTAGCGCATGCATGATATTCAAAATGAGATAGCCATTCTAAACATAATATGTATCAAAGAAATATATCTACAATAATAGTAGTCATCAGTATATTAAATAGAACAAAATGTTCTAGGTGACGAGCATAACATTTCGTGATTTCCGATTTAAGTTAAGATGGTGTTTTGGCGTATCTTTGTGATTTCCAAGAATACACAGCATTATGTACAAACTCTAACATATCGGTTCAAATGCAAATGTATACCTGATGCGCTGGAGGTCATGGTGTTGTGTTTCATATGAAAGGCTAGTTAATAATTGGAAATTTAAATCAATTCTCTTTACTGTAGATTATTCAATTTCTGATTTGATCTGATATCATTAAGACACATGTGACTCTTTCCATAATACTTATCGGTAGCTAGGAATATTACACTAATACTATATTATATTATCATGGTTCTATTGATGTTTTTATATAATATGATATTTCAGGGGGTGTAAACATTTAACAGTTTTGTGCAAATAGCAACCACTGATAAATATTCAGATTGACTGTCATTTTTCGTTGACTGTGACAAAGAGTGTATATTTTAAATTTTATCAAACATTTTCATTAAATAGCAAAAGTTATGGCTTATTGACGTTTAAAAAATCATACTGCAGTAAGCAAATTATAACCAATTCACGTCAATTTCATGACTGTATGTTACAAATTTTAGCAAATAACATTCAACAAAAGTATAAAAAAATCGACTTATTTAATGATTCTTAAATATGCTCCGAATTTTTGGGAAGTGAAAATATAATTGCTAATCTGCAAGGACCAATAGTCACCGTTGACCAAATCACTTTCAGACCCGATAAAATTTCAGATTTATACTAGAGTATAAGTGTATAAATACTGCTGTAGGGGGAACAGAACATCCGGGAACCGAAGACATAATGACCTTTGCACTTTACATTTGTGGATCGCAAATGTACCAAATGACGCCATGTTCATACCTTTAGATAATTTTAAAAGTACATTATTTTATGAATGGATGCATTTTCAGGATCTCTGGATTTTGGCGAGAATGGTGATGGGCGGTGGAAGATTCAGATACAAGCAGTACAATGTCCTGTGGGGAATACTAAGCTAGAATATAAACTACAGGGCAGCAACCCCTATTATATTAAACTTCAGATCAGAAACGGGAGGTGAAGAATTACTTAACGCATTCTGACATGAAACAGTTAATATTTAGTAGCATTTAATGATGTGTTGCAGAATAATTAATTGTTAATCATATGCAGTAATAAGACAGGGCAGAATGGGAATAGCTTATACATCAAGATACTAAATACTTGACCGTACATGTGAATCTACCATGAAGGTTTTGTTTCATTTTGTCCAAACTCAAGGTCCAGATGATTTTAATTTCATCAAAGACAAATTGTATTTTAAACATTTCAAACTGCATTCGATGATCCAACAATTTTGATTGCAAGGGCCTTGGACCTTGAGTTGGTATTTAAAGTGCACATAAGATGGGTTTTGGAACTTTTGGATATGTGTAGCCAATGGTTACTATATCAACTTTACGGCAAGTTCACACCAATCTGATTGAAATTAATTCAGTTATCTTCACTCAAAGTCGTAAAAATGGACCTCCCGTGAAAACGACTTTGCCAATTATCGAAAACACTCTTAATCCCCTCAGACGCCAGTGACGTCACAGTGACCGAATGCATATTCGGAATGTTTATTCCTTAATTACCTATATACAGCCGGCGTGTGTACTCATTAACGCCTGACTGATTCCTTAATCTCCCTTAGTTCTTAATTAAATAAAACAATTGACTTCGGAATAATTCGTTTTGTAATTCATCTTAATTTAAGATCCAATTTAGATTGCCTACAACTTTTAAACTTTGAAGTCTTGAACTCTTAATTAATTTTTTACAATATGGAACTTATTGGACGAACACTTTTAATATGTAAATAATATACCGGTCCAGCTATGTGTTTTTTACTGCGAGCACTTCGCTTTTCCACATAAAGTGTAGTGTCGTTAATATTTGTCATTAATTAATCAATCCGACTATAAAAGTTATACAGGCATGGGTCATAAATTACACGTCGGTGTTAGCAGTGAGTGTTAGTGGGATTAAGAATGTTGATTAGGTAATTATCTTTTTTTACGCCGGCCAGATCAAAGACATCACTCTAAGTGGAACGTGTGCATAATACCTCATGAACGAACTAATGGTAGAATCGTACACCCACACATTAATTGTATAAAATCATTAAGTTTTACTCATCAGTTGTTTATAAGTATTATTTACCCAATAATTATTGCTCACCAGTGTTTTTGTAATCAAGTAGCCTCGTATTATTTGTTGATTGGCGTTTAAACAACAATCGTTTATCTTCTTTTTAATAAAAGTATTTTACAATTGCATTGACAGTTTAATCACTCACCAAACGGCACCAGGAACTCCACGTATGATCCCGTGCAATTTGCGTGCCGAAGTTTAACCTCATTTACTACACCCGTAGTACATGTAACCGTAAATGGTAATAAGATTCCCAGCGTTGATTGGCTGAGAAATGAGGGCGATCTATTGTACATGTTATGCATAGTCATCGGAAAATTCCATATTCACTGTAAATTTCAAATGGAGTTACGATAAAAGTTGTTCTTTATGTATAGAAATGGTTATTATTATTATATATAGCTAATAATGAATATATCGACAAATGACGGGCGCCATTATATCAAGTATTACGGGGTTATCCAAATTACCGGTAAATGCGCTAATTTCTTGAGTCGTCTTCATTTGACATGTGGCCTATTTGATGATGAGTTAGTTGTATTTTACGTCCGCTTCCACCGAGGTGATATCGCAGACAATGACGTGTTATGTGTACAAGGTGCATTAATTTACAATGTGATTAATGAGGCCTATTTAAACAAAGGCAGCTTAAATGGATCTACGGCATGATACGGCATTTGAAATTCACTCTAAAATATTCCAAATGAAAGACGATAATTCGGTGATTATGATTAGGCCAGTCATGTGGTAATTGGAACGTCAACAGACGCTTGTCAACTTGCCGTGTGTATTGATAGTGCTATATTGTACAGACGGTGAGATATTGTATAGATAATGTATATCCTATGTGTAGTGCCTGTGACGTCACCAGCCAATCAACCGGATTAAGGTCGTAATTGAAAAATTGAAAAGCGTTTTGGCGTGTCGGACACTTAAACGTTAACAGCCGACTTAATTTTAATCAGATTGGTGAGAAGTTGCCGTAAAGTTGATATAGTAACCATGGGCTATAAATACATGTAATTTAGATTTTCGATCTTACGTGGTCTTTAAGCACAGTTATGTGGTGTTTATTGATAGAAGAAAACTTACAACACTAAGTCATCCGGATGAGCCTTTGGAATAAGGGTTGATTTCATCTAAACCATGTAATTTAGACTGTAAATCACTTTGGTGTTGGGTTAGTTTTGATTCAGTGTTGGATATGACACATTGTCATCATTTGCTTTAAACAAATGATGTTATCTTCGAATTTATCTTCTATTATTCAAAATTTATAACATACTTAGAACCATAAAAATCGATATTTCTGAAAACTGTTATGTTTGGTTTCCGTTTCAAATTTTTGATATGTCTTAGTGTTACTGCTAATCAAAGAACAGTAGTAAATGTATGTATTGATAACCTAGGATATCAATGTGTCTGACTTGAATGCCCAAGTTAAAGCAAAATGAGAGCACCGCATTAAAACTATATAGTTTTAATAACACAACACGCAACTCTACACTAACAGAACTATGTTCATTCCAAAGCTTGAAATGACCCAATGCATGAACGTGTTTCTTTGTTAGAACTGACGACATTGTTTTCTACTTAAATATATAGAATCCCCGCAGCCGATTTAAAAATGATGCAATCTGGTAGATGGGTAGACATGAAACATACTGCTGATGGTTTCTGGGTTTTATCTAACGGTAAACCAGTTGATACAACTAATATTAGGATAAAGATAACAGCTGCTAATGGTGAGATTGTAGAAGATGTTATCCCTAAATTAGGTATGTATGTATTTTTACAGTTCCATAATGTATGAAACATGCATGATAGGTTGACATGAGTAGCATATTTCTTATTGGAAGAGGCTTGGTATTTGTCATTTCATATAAATGAAATGAAATGAAATGGGGTTTAACATCCTAATGTTCTGCTCCTAAACTGGGCTAATGAAGACGGGCATACGCCATACAGTGTGCTACGAGGGAACTTTTGCCCGGGCAGCTGCGCTACCGCCTACTCTTATATCGAATTCCAACTGCCAAGGGATCTTTTACGTGCACGCCAATGTGTACACGGGACCTCGGTATTTCGTCCCATCCGAACGACTGGTCAGCTGTCCTTAAGTATTTAATGTAGACAATAATTCTACTAGAACAGCAATCCAATTCCTATTTAATGTCATTGTGTACATAAACCAGGATAAACGAATAAACAAGCAACTATTACCAGAGCTAAAGACCCATGCTACTCCTAAAGACTAAAAAGCCAAGTGTACAGGGCATTTCTAAAACAATGATAAGTATGAAAACAATATCTAGTATTTGTTACCTTGGCAATCTGGGTTAACCAACATTATCAACGGAAGTGTAAACATTTTGGATCAATATGCAGCCTAAAAGGATATATATATGGTTCGTTATATCGTTGAAATTCATCACACCTATGGCCACCGAGATCATGACATATCACATATATAAAAGCATTCCTCCTGAATTATTAATGGCTATATCTTATAACTATATCGGTCAATATCTTATAACTTGAATTGTGTTTTCAGTTAATAATCAAGTTTTACATGGAGCAAAAGCAGTCCAGTTTGCCTTAGATAAAAGTCTTCCCACTGCCTAGATTGTATTATTATATTTATGATCGATTAAAAGTTATTATCCTGACCAGTGTTGTCAATGATATCAATACGTTTAAATTCTTCCATACCAATTTTTTAATTTTCTTCGTGATGCTATTATTCCCATATGACGTTTAAGATCATCATCTTAACTGGCATACACATATTTTAATTATTTGCAATTCTTGATTTTGAAATAATTATGTCCAAACCTCAAGTGGTTGAAAAGAATAATTGTGGTCATAGAAATATATAAATTCAGTGGTTGTGACAATAGACATTCCTCGATTAGCGCGGTAATTTCCGGAGTAGCGGGGGAGGGATTTCTTTAGAACACGCCTAGTGAGATAAGATCAACTCCCGGGCATATCAGTATACGTGGATAACATAATTTGTTAGGAACTTGATTATTTTCATTACTACTTTAGAATTGTCTTGAAATACGTTCCATGCCGACCATCTTTTATATTAAAGAAACGGAGGTTTTGGCCGAAAAAGTTCATTGGGATTTTCCAGTCTAGTTTCCATTGGATGAGAACGGAGGGCATGGAAGAGAAAAGTATTACGTCGTTCGGGGATCCCGTTTATACTATTAGAATCATGTTAAAGATCCCTGAAGCCTTAAGTGAACGAAATAAAGTTTCTCATAACACACTGCATGGCGTCCGCCAGTCTCCATTAGTTTGGTTGCTGCGGAAAAATACGTCAAACCCCATAGCAGAGGCTAGCATAAGATCTTAAGTAGGTACTGTGGGCAGTTTTCCCGCGTCACCTGACAATAGTACTTTCGGGAAAATATAGTTCTTAAGATAGGATTAATCATTTTGAACTACTATTATTAATATCGTATCAATTTCAAAAAGGCTAGTGGTTGCGTTTTGTAAATCAAGGGAGGCTACTCCAGATTTTACCGGGCAGAATACGGTCTCAGACTAGCAATTATTTGCCCATTGAATTCAATGTTAAATGGCTGTAACATCATAGGTAGTAACTTTTTACTCAACATTCCGTTGGTTCCAATCTTTATAGGCACAATGGGTACCACATTTGGCAATCCCCAAATTTTTTAAAACTCGCAATACATCATGAAATAAGGGGAAATAATTACTAGTCTGAGTCCATACGGATGAAG